CGCGCAGTGAGAAGCCTAGGCCAGCGTGGCGGGACGCTTTTTGAACGTTTTTTACGTGCCGTAGATAAAAACGGAAAAGATTGCTATACAAAAACGGCGTCCCATCATCGTGGCCTAGGTTTCTCACTGCGCGGGAATTCAAATCCTCGTCCCTACTCGCCGCCTTTTTTTGAAACGGCGTTTTCAGGGTATTCTGATTTTCTCTGAATTTTTCCGAATTATTTTAGGAAATCACATAACTTTTTGAACATTTCAATGCAGAAAAAAGCAAATAGAAAACGTTATAAATTCACTTGGGAATTATTAGTCAGGTAAGAAATAATTGAATGAAAAACTTCTGATCTTTGAAGTGTGTCTCCAGATTTTGGTTAGCTACTCATTTTGCAAATATTAGGACTTGAAGAAATTTATTCTTAAGAAAAATTACTGGAGAGTACTTTGGATTCTTTCGAAAACACTTTTTTGAAATCTTGAAAGATTTAGAAAAAATACGAAATTTTCCAAATTTTGAAAACCATAATCTTGAAACATGCGGTGGTGTTTTGATTCTCTCAAAATTTGCCCCTTCTCATCCAACACTCTTCAACTCCACGTGTTCTCAGTGCTTCATTCTTTGTCATCTCACTATCAGATGCTGAATTCGACTAATAAAAAAAAAGTTCATTCATCCCATCTGTCACTAGAATTGCCATCACCGACTCGGATAGAATAAAAGAGACATAACAATAATAATAATAATAATACAAAAAGAATAATAAGAGAAAAGAAGATGATTCCGAAGAGCTCTCTTTTCGAAGTGCGTTTCGATGGACGTACTAATAAGCAAAACTTTTCTGCGTTTCGTCTCCCTACACACTCTTTCTGGAATCGGTGCAATTAGCACGGCGAGAAGAGGTGTGGCTTATGAATGAAGAGGATGACGGCGGGAAAAGGAAGAATATGACAAGAAGATGAGAAGTACTCGAGAGTTTGAAAACCGACGGATTAGAAGACGGAAAGCACGCGGAAAGTGGGACGAACGAAACGACGTGGCAGAAGAGGTAAACATTCAGAATGTGTATTCATAGAATGTTAAAATGAAGGTGTTGAATTTAGAAGTGCTTCTTGATTATGATCAAGAAAAAAAATTGAACTCTGAATTTGCTTAGAGAATTCAATTTGGGCATATTAGTGGTCACCAAAATGTGAACTTAAATATCATTTTGGTACAAAAAATCAGAAATCGGGAAGAGAAAAGTCGGTGGCTGTCGCCCAGGGTCCCATAACGAAAAATACCGTAACCTGAAAATATGTTTACTACTCTTTTTTTTCGTTCTCCACTATTATCGCTGTCTGAAAAAATGAAGGTTGAGACGCAGAGAAAAAATGTCTGCGTCTCCACCTAATATGTGCTATTTAGGCTTACCGCTTCGAGAAACCTACCGTATTCAGACTGCAAAAAATACTCTCTAACCTTCATTTTTTCAGACAGCAATAATATTTTTCGCCGTTGTCTGTTTTGTCCCCGGAAATGTGGGAAAATAAAACGTTTTAAAAGTTAAAAAAAGACGTTTTAAAAGTTTAAAAAAAACTAAAATCGAAATAAAAATCCGGAAAATAAAAACATATTTTTAGGTTACGGTAGTTCTCTTCCACAGCTCCGATTTTTGGTACCAGAATAATATCTTTTTTAAAATTCGTAAGAAAAACGATGAAAAGAATTTAAAACCTTCTTCTTCTGAAAAAGAAGAAGAATGATGTAAAATATATTATTATTTCGAAGGTGCAACCTAATCCGCAAATTGAATAACGTCTTCACCGTCGTCGAGCGGAAGGACGTCGCGTAAATCGGAAGTGTTGAATAACACTGAGCTCTTTTCCTCCTAGTCGCTCGGTCCCTTCTCGGTTTACCTTCGCATGTCATAGTCGCGCACTTTTCCTAATTAAATGTCTCCATCGGGGTGGCAGCGACCACCACAGCCATGCACACCAATCCGTGGGATTTATGTTTCTGAGGCGGATTGCTCTCAAGTCTATACAAATCATAAAAAGTTTTATTCAAGAGAGAGTGGAGAAGGAATTGAATGAAAGTCAGCCAACGGCAATGATTGTATCTCTTCAAAAGCACATAATCAACACAACCTTTAGGAAGAGGGTACTGGAATTGAGAGATGAAGAATTACTATATATACTGACTTGAAGGTATTTACATAATAACAAATACACAATTAAGTTACGGAGCGCGAGAAGAAGGGGGATGATAAACATAGGGATAAGTAGGAATATATCAGTTTCTTCATTGATGGCTTTAAGCCCACATTTCCTCGGTACGTCCGAACTTGTAGACACAGGAAGAAGCAAAGATAATGAAGTTGGTGAGGAAGAGAGCAACTCCTGGCCAAACAGTGTGCTCTCCTTGACGGAGAACATAGTCAGAGAACAGGATCCACGTGGCTGCAACAAGAGATGCGAAGGAGACGACGAACGCAGCCATGAGCCAGAGGCGGGCTCCTAGAATCAGTAAAGTGTTAAACGACGTTAGAACATGATTAAAATACCTTTGGTTCCGAGGAGACCTTCATGAAGGCTCTCTCCACGAACTTGACTGTTCGATATCGCATTCACCATGAACATGGCAAGAGTGCTCGAGATGGTAATAATAAAATAGACGTTGGTCCAATCTTTCGAGTCATAGACGGCGGCAGTATCAATCATAAGCCACCAGGCGATGAAGAACAGTGCTGCAGAGGCAACAGAAGCGACCGCGTTTCTGAAAAAAATCCAGAAATAGTTGAAATGATTCAAAATTAAATTAATGTCATAAATACTCACCGTCTACCCTCCAAATCAAAAGCACAGTTGCATCGAATTTGGTCGAAGCAGCCGGACATCTCTGTAAAACGATACAGTAATTAAACAGAATGAAGAAGAAGGGCAGGAGATATCGAATCGTTTAAACAAACGATTTAGATGTTACAGTCATAATAGTGATAAAATCGAACGTTGTATTTTGTATTTGACTGCAAGCAAAAATTCGAAAAAAAAACAAGAAAATATTGACAAGACATGAGCAACAGTTCGGGAAAAGGGGAAAAAGAACCGGGTGTAAAATGGAAGGTAATGAAATGAATCTAGAAAGAGCTATATACAGATGTGAAACAACAGGAAAGAAAACACAGATTTTCACACCCGATACTAGAAGTAAAATCCTGAAAAAGTTAACAGAAAAAGGAATTTGAAAAAAAAACAAGTAAAAAAATATGAAACCTAATAACGAGAAGGAAAAGAAAATGTTAGACTATTGGTGAATTTGTGAGGAGACATCATCTATCGGTTGCAGCTAGAACTACCGCAACACTTATCAAGATCCAGTTCTAACAGAAGATCATCATCATCTTGCTTTGTCTTTTTAGGCTGAAATTAAAAGATTTTTTCTAGAAAACGACAGTTTCAAGCTTACCGCTACTCCATGAATGTTCTGAGATCTCCATAATTCGGCATATAGACCATCCTGAGCTAGAAGATCAAAATGAGATCCCTTTTCAACTACTTTTCCTTCTTGAAGCACATAAATAATATCTGCGTCTACAATAGTGGCCAATCGATGAGCAATAAATAACGATGTTCTTTTCTCAACGGCTCCTTTGAGCGCTTTCATGATGTTCGCTTCGGTGATAGCATCCAATGATGACGTTGCTTCGTCATAAATAACAAATGGAGCATTCTGAAAATGATTTCAGTTGTGAAGGAACCTCCTAAAAATGCTACTCACTTTCAAAATCGCTCTTGCGATGGCGACTCTCTGTTTTTCTCCACCAGACAGCTTCAAGCCTCTCTCGCCAACTAACGTTTCGTATCCCTGGAAACAATTGTTTATTTTGTTACTCTTTCCCTGTTCTCAACTCACGTTGGGCATTCTGAGAACTGATTCATGTAAATCAGCCATCTTCGCCGCTTGAATAACCTCTTCCTTGGATGCTGATGGTCTACCGTATGCCAAATTATAGTAAATGGTGTCATGGAAAAGTACAGAATCCTGTGGAACGATACTGATGCTTTGACGGAGTGAATCTAGAGTCAAACTACGCGTTTCCTCTCCGTTAATTTTGACTGTTCCAGACTCTGTGTCGTAAAGACGGTAGAGAAGACGGACGATAGTTGATTTTCCAGAACCACTTCCTCCGACAATTGCCACTTTCTTGCCAGCTGGAATTTCCAAATTCAATCCTTGAAGAATTGGTTTCTCGGGAAGATATCCAAAATGCACATCTTCGAAATTCAAAGTGATGTGGTTCCCTGTGATTTCCAATTTCTTCGCATCAGAAACTTCGACAATCTTTGGTTTCAACGTTAGCAAAGAGAACATCTGATTCATGTCTACAAGACCCTGACGCACTTCGCGATAGACGGATCCCAGGAAGTTCAATGGGATCGAGAGCTGGAAGAGAAGCGTGTTGGCTAGAATGAGATCTCCAATGGTGAAGTCTCCAGCAGCAATACGATTTCCCGCCATGCACATAACTCCAATCAGAGCTCCGGAAAAAATGGCATTTTGTGTGAAATTGAGAAGAGCCAGAGATGAAGTTGTCTTCAACGACGCGCCTTCATACTTTTTCAAGAAATGATCGTATCTATCAGCTTCGAATTTTTCGTTGTTGAAATATTTAACTGTTTCGTAGTTGATCAAAGAATCGATGGCTTTGTTTCCAGCGTCATTATCTGCTTGATTCATCTGATGACGGAACTTGGTTCTCCATCTTGTAATTCCCAACGTAGCTACTCCGTACATTCCGATGCTTCCCATTGTCATGTATGCAAATTCAGCTCCAAGTGTTCCTGTGAATAGAGCTGAAACCATTCCAATCTCCACAGCGGTAGGGATGAGATTGAAGATTAAGGATGAGAGAACGAAGCTCATTCCTCTTGTTCCTCTGTCAATGGCTTTTGAAAGTGCTCCAGTTTGTCTGTTGAGATGGAAAGACAGATCCAGAGAATGCAGATGAAGGAAAATTGATCTGGAGATGCTCCTGACAGAATTTTGGGCAACTTTGGCAAATACTGCATTTCTTAGCTCGTTGAATGCGGCGGAAGTAGCACGAGCCAAACCATCTGAAAATTTGAGTTTCTGATGCGTTGATTTTTAAGCTGACACCTACAGGCGATACATGTGGCGATTCCAGCGGTGAAAATTGTTTGTGAAGCTGTTCCAGCAAAAGTTAGCTTCAGAAATTCGGGAGCCTTTCCGTTATAATAGTTTACGACATCTCGAAGCAGAAATGGAACGGAGACGTTGGCCAATTTCGCTGCTACTAAGAGGGAGAGGGCAACTAAAACTCTTCTTTTGATTTCTGGTTTATCCTTGGGCCACACATATTTGAGCAGTCTCTGCACTAATTGGTATCCTGTTAACTGCCCACTTGCCTGAAAAATCAAAAATCTGATTCCCATTTGTTCGAAAACGCCACCACAGTATCCCAGACGTAAATGGGAAGCGGTAAGAATCAAAAGAAAAGAGTCTGGGAATTCCCAAAGACAACTCAGGCTGAGGCTTTGCATAAAAGGAGCCCTCAGCATACAATCCTCATCAGTTTCATCTCTTTCTTTTTTCTTCCTATCTTCCTTACCTGCAAAGGCACTTGACTGCTGGCGCCAGGGTGAAAGCATGTCCTCGTGAAAACTTGCACTATTGATCGTTTCTGAAATAAATTAATAGTTTACAGACCATGTCGCCAACGTTTGCTCTTTTCATTCTTGGACTCGCTGCTTCTACTGTGAGCGCTGTCAAAATCGGAGACGACTGCGACCTCGGAAACCGTCGCCGTATCGGCAAAGGAAGCTACTATGAGGAGTGCGTGAGCAAGTTCGAAACCGCGGGATGTTTCGCAAGCTGGGAACAGGATGCTCAGGCTCAATTCGTTAAGCACGGAGAGACTATTGACCGCATGTACAAGAACAACGCTGTCGGATTCCGTTACAAGTGTGAAATGAGCAACGGATACATCTCGTTCGCACCAATCGGATGTGTGCTCAACAAAAAGGATGGTCTTGCACTTCTTGAGCTCAACGCCAGCGGTCAACTCGACAACGGACAAAACGTCAAGTGCAAGCAGAACAACGAAGGAGAATTTAGTTTCGAATTCGGATCCGAAGCCCCACAACAGAACAACTAATTTATTGTTTTTAATTGATTACAAATAAATTTTTTCTGAGCATTTAAATATTTTCTTCTATTTTCAAAACTGTGTAAAACTCACATTTTTACTGAGGATTTGTGGGGCATTCTTGATAAGAGTTGGTTTTTTAGTCAAGGTTGAGAAGTTGCGATAAAGTCCCTGAAGATATAGTTTAAATGGAAATCGTGAGATATTTTCCAGTTACCTGTGACTTCCAAGTGCTTGACGAGTTTCTTAAACTAGATATTAACCGTAACTGTAACATTATCGATCTCTGAAAACAGGATTTTAGACGAAGCTTCAAGAGAGTAAAAATCGATGACTGAAGTTTCCGAGTAATTATCAACGTTCAAAAAACACCTAAATATCTCGATAGTGATTTAGAAAGGAGGAGCACTTTTTTGAGCAAAAGCAGAGGATGAAAATTAAGTGATTTTCAGATGAAAATCCACCGAGAAGCTGTTTTCGTCAGCTGATTCTGAAAATATTTCGGTAAAAGTACGGTGCGTAAGCGTACGCAAACACTCTCACGCACAGATGCAGACAGATAGAAAATCCCAATTTTTTAATTATATCGTTCAACACTCCATATTCTTGTATAGTTTTTGCCATTATTGACCTCATAACATTTTTCTTCAAACTCGGTCCGTTAAATGACAATACAATTTTGCAATTCAAATAAGACCCTATCAGTAACACAATTAAACGAAAAATAGGAAACTGACAAACTAATACAATTTTTCTTAACTCTTTTCATTTATTAAAATATAACTAATCGAGTTATTCAGATATGCGTCCACTTTCTTTGAAAGGCCATGAACGTGCTTTGACAAGGGTCCGCTTCAATCGCGAAGGAGACTTGACTTTCTCGTGCGCCAAAGATAAGAAACCATGCGTTTGGTACACCGAAAACGGAGAGAGAATTGGTAGGAATTGCTTTTCTTTCGATAAAACGAACTGAATATTCCTACAGGAAGCTATGATGGGCACAACGGAGCTGTCTGGGACATCGATGTCTCGTGGGATACTTCAAAATGTGTTACCGCATCTGGAGATCTCACTGTGAAGGTAAACATTTCGTTAATTCCGACACATTGTGGATATATTTTGTTTCAGATTTGGGATGCAGAACTAGGATCCTGTATCTACACCATTAATCACCAGACGCCAATGAAATCATGTGGATTCTCCTACTCAGGTATATACAGAAATAACATATATTGTTAAAAATCTATTGGTTTCAGGAAATTTGGTGTGCTACACTACCCAAAAAATGACCAAAAATCTCTCCACCGTTCAAGTACGAGATCTTCGTGATGGAAATCAGATGGCAGAAGGAGCAGAGTCATTCTTCTCCACCCAGTTCGATGTCAATGCGACGACAGCGTTGTTCTCCCAAATGGATGACATCATCACCATTGGATTTGAGTCTGGACTTCTTCAACAATACGATTTGAGAAACCCTGATTCCCCAATTAACACAAACGAAGTTGTCCATCGTGTGAGTTTAAGCTTCTCATGATCATCAAATATGTTCTTCAATTTAGTACAGCATCCAAGACCTCCAACTTTCCCCAAGGGGCGATTTCCTTATCTCCGCTTCTCGTGACAAGACTGCTGCTCTCCTCGACGTGAATGACTTGAAAAAACTGAAACAATACAAATCCGAACGTCCTGTGAATTCTGCATGTATTGCACCAAATCGGGATCACATTTGTCTTGGAGGAGGAGAAGATGCTATGCAAGTTACACAGACGGCTGTTTCCGCTGGACACTTCGAAGCTAAAATCTATCACATGGTTTTCGAAGAGGAGTTCGCTAGATTCAAGGGACATTTCGGACCAATCAACACGATGGCGTGGCACCCATCTGGAAGTATCATTGCTACTGGAGGAGAAGACGGTATTTTTCAATCCCACACTCAACAGCTAATGCTAAGTTTTTCAGGTTACGTAAGAATTCAAGAGTTTGACGAGGACTACCTCGGATTCACATACGACTTCTAATTTCTACTGAATCCCCGTTTTTGAGCGGAAACTAAATATATTTTGTTTAGGTTTTCGTTCTTCTCACATCCCTTTCTTTTCTGTTGAAGTCGCTTATTTTTAAAGATCACAAAGATGGTTTTTGGTTTATTGAGAAGGGTCTTTTTCGAATCTGTAGGTCTATAAAGTACGCGGCGTCCTCTTTGAATCCAATTCGTTTTTCTAATTTTTTTACTCGGATCGTTTTTCTAAATTATGTGTTTCTGGGTCTTCACTTTTTTCGGTGGCATCCCAAAATCGTTTGTTGTTGATTAGGGATGTTCTGAAACATAGGCGATTCATAACTAGCAAAAACATTTTCTACCCATGAATCACCTTATATCTGAATATCCTTTCTCCTTTCATTTCATTTATAATAAATCTTATCAACTTCAATTGCATTTTTTTAAATGTTTTTCGTTAATTGTTAATTTTTTAACTCAATTATTCATATTTGACCAACATTTTTGAACAGAATCTCTAAGGACTTTGATTTAAGCGATGCCTCACACAAATAAAAAAGTCAACAATCAGCAATGGAAAGGTGGCAACGGTAAAAGAAAAAGGAAGTTCGACGGAGAACAAGATGCCAGTGTGATGAAAGTTCTGAAAGAAAAAAGACTGCAGAAAAAACGAAAGCAAGATTTGAAAGGACAGGAGGAGAAAATGCTCGAAGAGGTTGAAAACAAGTATCAGGAAATGCTCAAGGTTCGAAATTATTGAAAATTTTAGATCGCAATTTATTTTTTCAGAAAAGTTCTCGTACGTTTCTTCGCTTTGAAGATTTCCCACTGTCATGGAGAACTCTCGAAGGCCTCAAAGAAAATGAATATGTGAAGCCCACTGAAATTCAAAGAGACACTATTGCTCATTCTCTCACTGGAGCTGATGTGGTTGGAGCAGCAAAAACAGGAAGTGGAAAAACATTGGCTCTTGTCATTCCTATTTTAGAAGCTCTTTGGCGGGTCAAATGGTCTCCCGAGTATGGTCTTGGTGCTCTCGTCATTTCCCCGACTCGTGAGCTTGCACTTCAAACATTCAGTACAATTAATGCTGTTGGAAAACATCATGGATTCTCATGTGGACTGGTGATTGGAGGAAGTGAAGTAGCGTTTGAAAGAAACCGAATCAGTGGCATCAACATTATTGTTTGCACTCCTGGTAGACTCCTACAACATATGGATGAAAACGAACAGATGAACTGTGACTCGTTGCAAATTCTCGTATTGGATGAAGCCGACCGAATGCTCGATATGGGTTTCTCGAAACAGTTGAACTCAATCATCAACAACCTTCCTGCAGAAAGACAAACCCTTCTATTCTCGGCAACCCAAACCAGGAATGTGAAGGATCTTAGCAGAGTTTGTACTAATGTAAGCTGATTCCAACCCTTCAAAATCATCTGTTTTATTTTTCAGGATCCAGTATTCGTTTCTGTTCACGAGAACTCAGCCGCAGCCACTCCAGATAATTTGAAGCAGTCTTACGTTGTTGTCGAAGAAGAAATAAAAATAAATACCCTTTGGTCGTTTATCGAGGCACACAAGAAGAAGAAGTCACTAGTGTTCGTGAGTAGTTGCAAGCAAGCTCGATTCTTGACGGAAGTATTCTCTCAACTTCGACCTGGTCTTCCAGTAATGGGCTTGTGGGGAACGATGAATCAGAAGAAGCGAATCGAGACGTTCACGAAATATGACGAGAGCAAAGCTGCAGTTCTCATCGCTACAGATGTTGCTTCAAGAGGTCTCGATTTCGAACGAATTGACTGGGTCATCCAGGTTGATTGTCCAGCTCAAATCGATGATTACATTCATCGTGTCGGTAGAAGTGCAAGAATGGAGGAGTCTGGTAATTCCCTTCTAATGGTAACCTCGTCTCAAGAAGAAGCTATGATTTCCAAACTGGCTAAACACTCGATTCCTATCGAAGAATTGAAAATCCATCCAGATGCGATGACTGATGTCCGATTGAAACTTCGTGCTATTCTTGCGGAATCACAAGAACTGAAAGAATATGCACAGAAAAGTATTGTCGCTTATCTTCGATCGATTTATACCATGAAAGATAAAAAGATCTTCAATGTGAACACCATTGATGCTGCTGCTCTCGCCGATTCATTTGGTCTTGTATCTGTGCCAAGAATACGGTTCCTCGACAAGAATAAGAATGACAAGAAGAAAACAAAAACGACAACAATTAAAGCTGCTGATGATAATTGTGACGAAAGTGAAGACGAAGAAGAGCAGAAACCTTCAAAAGATCATTCTCTTGTTGGCAAGTTTGCGATTGATGAGGAAGATGAAGATCTGTTCACAGTGAAGAAATCCAAAGATGGCACAGAAGATCAGCCCAAGGAGGAATTTAAAGTAGAAGAAGAGGAGGAAGTGGCGGAGAAGATCACTTTGAAAAAGAACAAACCACTCAAGAAGGCGTTGACTAAAGTCGGAGCTGCAAAGAAGATTCTCAACAAGAACCTTCGAGTCAACACGAAGAAGACGTTCGAGGAGGATGATGATGCGAAGGTTGAAGGACCGTCGACCATGACATCATACGGTTTAGATATTGAAAAAGCGAAGCAGGACATGAAGAGCGTTGACAAAGAGGATCGTCGTAGATTCAAAGAGCTTCGTGAACAGAGGCGTCAAGAGAAGTTGGCAAAGAAGAATAAGAAGTCAGAGGTGTTTGAAATGGAAGCGGAAGAAACTGATGATGAACCTGATATTTCTTGGCTTCCGGATCCAGATGCTGTTCGGACAAAATATGAGGAGAGTGATGACAACTACGAGTCAATGGATGCATCGTTGCTGGAAAAACAAGCATTGGCGATGCTCGGAAGAAACTGAATTCGTTGTTGATTTTTATTATTTGTTACTGTTAATCATTGTTGTTAGTAAAAAAGTTTTCAAAGTTAAAAAAATCTTCGTTCTGTTTTGTTTCAATTTTTGTGTTATTTAAGCACGAATTTTATCTGTCATCTCATATTTTCTTCGAATTGTTACCATTAACTTCATTCATTCAGAATGGCTCAACCGTATCTTCCAGCTGAGAAATTTCTCTCCAGAAAGCAGGATACGATATTGCTTGACGAGGATGTGGTTTACTGGAAACGAATGCAACAACTCACCGTATTCCAAGAGCCCTCAGTTGTTAGCTCAGTTCGTATTTCACCCAAAAAACCGTTCCACGTGGCAACGACCAGCAGCGTTCGGTTGACACTCTATGACACAGTGGTTTGTGAGCCACTCAATTTGTTCAGTAGATTCAAGAAAGGTGTATGCTCAATTGATTTTCGTCATGACGGAAGACTGCTGGGTAATAGACTGTGGTCAGTATTGAGACTTCATTTTCACTTTTGCAGCCATTGGAGGAGATGAAGGAAAAGTAAGGATTTTCGATGTAGAGAAGACAACTGGATCTAGCAAAGTTGCACTTCGCGTCATGCAAGCATCTCAATCAACAGTCAAAAGTGTACACTTCTCACCACGCGGTGACACGATCTTCTCGCTAGCCGACGATGGAAAAATAAAGCAATACCGAGTAGCTGACACTGCTTACGGAGTGAACGCAGTTCCATTGATCGAAATTCAAGCACACGACGACGCAATAAGATGTGGAGCGGTGTCGTCTCTAAATGACCATATTGTATTAACAGGGGGTTATGATCATAAAGTGAGGCTATGGGATATTCGAAGCAAAGAAAAAACTATGGAGTTGAACTGTGAGCACCCAGTGGAGTCAGTTCTATTCCTCCCAGGAGAACAACTTATTGCCACTGCTGCTGGGCCTATTGTTAAGTTAGTTTTCCGGTAATAAATTGCTTCAAGGTCATTTGCTTTTCAGAATATGGGATACCACAACTGGAAGACCACTAACTGTTCTTCAAGCTCATTACAAAACAGTTACTTCTCTTCGTCTTGCCACAAACTCGACATGTCTTCTGACCGCTGGAATTGACAGAAGAGTGAACGCTTTCCGAACTACCAACTACTCCCTGATTCATTCATGGTCAATGCCATCTCCAGTCCTCGATATTGATGTCTCCAGAGACGATCAGACAATGGCCGTCGGAATGGGAAATCTTTTGGCACTCTATAGAAGAGCTGAGATCAAAAAAGAAACTACGGCGACGGCTATGATTGAAGACAAGCGATCTTTGGTTAGAACTTCAGCTCCTCCTGTCAAGTTGGCTGAAAAAGATAGAGATTCAAGAAAAGTGGAAGTTGTTGCAAAAAATGCAGATAAACTGAAGATTCCCAAAATCGATGGAATGCTTTCCAACTTCAAGCACTCTGGGGTCATTCGACTACTTTTCAGCGGTATGGGCTTTTAGAATTTCCGTAAGTATTTGTTCTAATTTTCAGGAAAGTTCCGCTCGAGTGTAGATGCAGCTGTCGTCAGTTACCTTCGAGTAATTGTTATGCGAGGAGCTATTCATAGAGCTTTGGCTGGTCAAGAAACTACTGTTCAGAAAAATCTTTTAATGTAAGCTTAGATACAGAAGCCGTATAATCGATCAATTCATTTCAGTTTCCTCAATCACCATTTGTTCAGAACAGAGTATTTCTCTATCTTGAAAGACGTCACCATTGCCTTTTTCGGTAAATTAGAATATTGAATTTTCCTATAAAAATTTTTTTCAGATGTTTATGCATCAGACAAGCTGGACAGAGATGTCTTCAAACAAGTACAACGTCTTAGAGTGACGCTCAGCCGTGAACTTGAAGTTCAGAAGATGATCTCTTCTCTGGTTGGATCCGTTGACTTGATTGTCTCTACTACCAAAATCAACATCAAATCAACAGCTGATCTAATTGAAGACAATGATGTATTCGGAGAGCCGACAATCAGAGCGAGAGACTTGGATGAACTAAAACCATCAAAAGGTGGTCCGGAGGTAGAGGAAGAACCAATGCAGACTAATTAAAGATTCTAGGATAACACATTTTGAATTATCTCTTTCGGCTCGTTCTGTTCCAATATTCGGGTACATTTTTTTGTTTTTTATTTTATCATCTCCTCTCAGTATCTTATTCTCACTTTGTTGTTGAATTCTTTCTTGTTACCCACTTTTTGTTGATTTGACTGTTTTCAATTATCATTTTAATAAATTTTTTTACACTTTCAGGTCCTGTACAAAAAGAAAAATGAATGAGGCGCCGTAAAGCGTTTCAGTAATAGATTCAATTCCTTTTGTTTTCCATTAGTTAACTGATAACAAGAAAATTATAGAGCACACAATTGTTATCTTATTAAAATTAACAACGTCAGTAGATGACACGGACCTGGAAACAAAAAAAAGAAACAAAATGAGACACCTGGCGGAGACACATCACTCGTAAGGCCATGATGTGAACTATGAATGGTGACTTTGGGTAATATGCCTTCTCCTTCCTGGGGAGATCGGTACCGAACAACAATCTCCCATAGAGAGGTCGGAGAGGCGAGAATTGAACCAGCGAGTTGTGAACGAGAAACGCCCGTGTTACCCACACGGCCACAAGGCGCATCATAGCTGTCCAGAGGAGAGGGGCTAGACATTGGTGAGGGCAAACAGCGCCCCTATTCTCAATGCAACGAGCGCGGCCAAGGAAATTCCAAAGCTGAAAAAATATGTTTCAAAACTGAATAAATTGAGGTGGGCCGTGAGAACATCGAGTGAGCTTTTTGAATGTTTCTTCGCCACGAGAAGGACGAATCGGATTAGAGCAAAGAGCCCTGGGGCAGTGTGAGCGTGCTTTCGTGCTTTCAGCCACATTCCCTCCTTTTTAATTTGTCTTCTCGATTTGCGTGCATAAAATATTAATCAATGTTCGAGTAGATAGTTTTATGTCGTTATTTAATAATTCGATAGCTGCGACACAGTTTCATTCGATTTTCAGCGAATCAGCGCTCATTAAGTCATGCTGCGGGTTTCAGAAACTCCGCTCACTTCGTCGTCTCTACTTTTATTTTCTGACTTTTTTAGTGGAAAATCACAGAAAAATCGGCAAAAATCAGTAAAAAACTAGAAAATTTTTTTTCTTGAAAATATAAATATTTTTGATTACTGTAGTTGCCGTTGTGGGACCTTCGGCCACGACCACCCGTGTTTTTGTTCCACAGCTCCGATTTTTGTATCAGTATAATATTCTCAATTTTCGCTTCTGAATCTCATGATTGTTCTCAATTTCCATTTCGTTCCAATTAATCAGAGCTATGACGACAAGTTTCGATATCCATGAAAAGGTGCTGATTGGTTTTCGACTCGGGCAAAAGTTTCCAGAAAACTGGTTAAACCAAGGTTTTTAATATTTACTATTTCTTTTTCACACAAGAGTTATTCAAATGTTGCCAGCTCTTTGTGAAGCTTGATCATTTTCTACCCGGAAATATTCTTTTCATACTGGTTTTTGATTATCAAGTATATATTTTTTTTAATTCAGCATATTTTTAGGAAACTATATTATTCCAGCGAAAAAAAAATCGGAGCTGAAAAAAACCTGAAAACCTTCAAACAAGTCGAAAATAAAATATGTCAAAATCTGAAAAATTGTCGGAAAACGGACAAAAAACGAAATAAGAAAATGTAAATACTTTTAGGTTACTGTAGTAATTGTTGTTGTGATACCTCCGACATTCCGCAACTCCGTTTTTTTATCAGACTAATATGCTTCCTGTTCTGTCAGATTCCGTTCAAGACCTGAAAAGAAGAAAGAAGAAGAAGAAAGAAGAAGAAGAAGACGAACGTGGAAGTGAAAGAACGCATTAGAACATGAAATCATCAATTTCCGGTTGATTATGCGTCCATCCCATTTCTTTTCTCTACTTTTTTGCACGAAGAACTCTTCAGAATTATTAAGTGCATCACCATTTTGTTGCGCTCCTCGTCCATCGATTCCTTCATATTCTACTGATTCTGAAAACCTTTTGAACTCATGCAACCCTCTTCCCCCTCATTGCTCATTTCTTTTCCTAGAAGCCGATAAATCGTCCTATTTGTTATTTGGAGTAAGTAACTCAAAAGTGTTACATTTAACTCCACCTCATCATTCACTGTCCTTTCTTTGTCATTTTTTCCCAACACTTCTTCTTATCTTTCGTTCTTTTTTCTGGCGTCCCTTTTCGTTTTTTTGCTGTTACTTTTTTTGCCCTTTTTCCCGGCTGCACCCGTCCATCAAATAACTCGCCTTTTGAGAGAGGGCGATAGGCTTTACCTCCCAAATAATACATTAACGAAACATTCGACTTTTCTCTCTTTTTGCCGTCCGTTTGACATCTCATTCCATGTTCTTCTTCTTCCTCGTTTTTCTGGAAACAGTTGTGTGTGTGTTCGAGGGAAAATTGAGAAGAAGACACCCGTCTCTTGTGGCAATATTGCGATGAAGGCTTTGTTTTCTGTGTGACCAGTGTAATAACAACTTTAGCACTTCTTCTCAACTTTCCTGATAACCTGCATTTTTGAGTTTTGAACTTTTGAAATCCAGGGAAATTCTTGGGATGATTCGATGTGAGTTACGGTAACAGGAAATCTTTCTCATGCTAAAGAATTTATTACGGTAGTCAGGAGCATGAGAATAAAAAAACCACATAAATTTAGTATAGCTCTCGGACTTTCTAGATACCGTAATCCAAGAAGAAAAGTTTATCTCGATCAGTATGACTGATAGTATGGCTGATAGGGAAGTAGGCAAGTTGGATATGGCTAAGGAGCAGAGCTGTGGGGATTCCGGATTCCGCGAAAAATATATTTATTCCGAATTCTGGATTCCGTTTTCCGGCTTCCGTGCTTTCCAATGAATAAAATGTTGTCTAGATTCCATATTTCGAGAAAATTATTTTATTCCTGATTCCGTATTCTAGATTCCGTTTCTCGAAAAAACATTCCGCACATCTCTGCAACTCTGGCGAAATTGAATAAATTTAAGGTTTTTAAAAGGAAGCTCTTCCAGTAACAAACAATTATCCTTTAAATCTGAATTCCCATATTCCCAAAGCAACAGAAGTATTAGAATTTATATCTATAAATATGTATTTCGAACGAAAATATTAAACAAGTTCAAATCGCGAGAGATTTAAAATGCATACACAATCAACGTTCACACATTCACCTGAACATCCATTTGGGATCCATAAATAAGTTGTCACACACTTGGAACTAACATTCTTACAACTGAAAACATGCGTAGAATATGCAGATTCACATCGTAATACGGTGTTCTCTTCTTATTTAACTTATCTCCTCTAAATCCATTCTGATACTTCTATATTAGTACGTCACTCAGAAAGTATCTCTTTTTCTTCTTATTCTACTTATTTCCATTTTCATGTTCGACCTAATTTTGGAGAGAGAGAGAGAGAGAGAGAGAGAGAGAGAGAGAGAGAGAGAGAGAGAGAGAGAGAGAGAGAGAGAGAGAGAGAGAGAGACGATCTTTGCCCACAAAAGAATTCTCCTTTGAAATTGCCAAATTATTTTCTTGTTCGCTGTTCTTATGGGAGCACCAACCGCCGATCTAAGTCATGAAAAAGCGACAAAAAGTGAAAAGGGCACAAGTGTTTTAGTGGTCCATAAAGCGTTTCGACCACCGCTTTTTTTTCGGTCTTCCATCTTCTGTGTCTCTGTTTTATTTTAGACAATTTTCACTTGAGCCGAATGGAAGAATCCAATCAAATAGTGCATTCCTCTGGCAGAGCGCACTGATGCGAGAAACAGCAAAAAAAGTTGGAAAGGAGAGGAAAGAGAATGAAAACTCATGAGAGAGAAACATCTATGTTTATGTATTTGGGTCCCCCGTTTTCTATTGTTTGTCTTAATCTGAAAATTGCAAACTGTTCTTGAAAACTACGTAGGTGTAATGGTGCATTGTGGAGAACGGTGTTTTGGAGCTTGGTAGGAGATACCGTAAACACTCTATAGAAGCCTCCACGCATAAAGTGTCAACTTTGAGCTCGTATATCTCATTTACTGTAGGAGATATCAAAAAGTAGTCAACTAAGAAAATGTTTATTATAATATTCAAATTGTTTCGTTAGTTGACACATTTTTGATATCTTTCATAGGAACCGAGATACATTGCCTCAAAGTTGAAAGCTAGAGAGATCATTTAATTATAGGGTTTACGGTAGTTTTATTAAATATTATGCAATTTCTCCAGTTTCCAGAAGTCTCGGGATTGAGAAGCCTAGACAGTTTTTTTTTCAATTCCTGCACAAATTCTCTAGAAAAGTTTTTTTTTGGATATTCGCATCAGTTGATCTTGGCCGAATCAGTCGATGTTGGACATAGCTAATAAGGGGCCTTTTAAGTTGACCCTCTAATTTGCATAAACTAACTTTACAGGATGAAAGAGCATGTTTGAAACCCTATCAAACCGTTCTCAAAATCTGCTTAAGAGACCTCGAAAGTGCTGAAATTTCAGTTTCAGCACCAAAAATCACTTTTTCAGTGTCGAATGGGTCATTTTCAAACTTGATTTTCTTCACTCCTAGGAGGTTTTATTACTTGAAACTTTTTGTGTTATACTTGAAATGATTTGAAATTTCATATTTCAACATTTTTCTCAAAAAATTGTTCAAAATTGGAAACTTGGATACACCCAAAGAGTAAACAAATTTTGAAACTTTCCAAAACTTTTCTGAAAAAAAAACTTTTTTGAGGAAAATGTTAAAAATGTTAAAATATAACATTTCAAATCATTTTAAGTATAACACAAAAAGTTTAGTTTCAAGTCTCAAAACCTCCTAGGAGTGAAGAAAATCAAGTTTGAAAATGGTCCATTTTACACTGAAAAAGTGATTTTTTGGTGCTGAAAATGAAATTTCAGCACTTTCGAGGTCTCTTAAGCAGATTTTGAAAACGGTTTCATAGGTTTTCAAACATGCTCTTTCATCCTGTGAAGTTAGTTTATGCAAATTAGAGGGTCAACTTAAAAGGTTCCCTTGTAAGCTATGATAGCTTGAAAAATGGGATGACATTTCTTTGAGAAACTTAATAAATGTGATGTTAGAGTATAGAAACAAGACATCAGCACCATTATTGAATTGTTTAGTATGAAAATATAACTTCTTGCGTTTTCGAAAGATAATTCTGCTGTTCTCCATCATTTTCTGAAGCTTCCATTTCTAACCCTACGAACATCTCCTCCGAATTTTTAGTCTCCTAGTACATTCCACGAATCCCCTTTTGTTTATAACATTTTCTTCGCACCCCATTGGCCGTGATCTCCAAACTTCAATGATGATGTAAGCACACCATAACACACACTCACTCAAATATTTCTTTTTTCTTCGAAATGGACACTTCCATTCCACCCATTGTTCCCCTATAACTCTTTTCGCACCTTTGTTTAGAGAAGGCCAAAGAATCCAGCACAAAAAATCTTTTGAGAGTTGCTTTTTCTGTTTAAACTCATTGACTCAAAAAATTTAGAATTTTCCAAGAAAGTTTAAGTTTTCGAAAATCTTATTTGCATAAAGCTCATTGGTTGAGTTTGGAAACTTTGTTTATCCTGAAAAAAATTGTCGTCTTTCATCTTTCCAACTATTTTGCATCCCATTAAAAGTTTAGGTAATTTTCGTTTTCCTCATGTGAATCATCTTGAAATCCTAAGATCGAGGACATCTTCATAAATAATTCGAATTTTCGTCAGGCGGTGCCCCTTTCGAAAGTGATGCGTGCCGCTTACTTTCTTTACTTTTCTTCAACACACTTTATCGAAAAAAAACTTTCGTGTTACTCGAAATATGATATGAATATCACACCAAGAAGGCGTCATTTTTCCAGTGTGTCGAGGTCAGAAAAAATTGCAAATTTTCTTCGAAAAAGAAGAAGAAGAAGAAGAAGAGCCCCACGCGAAATTCAGAAGAAAGTAGAATAAGTAAATGATGGGACCCTGTGTTACGACTTGGTTTCTGAGCGTTTTAGGAGTGGGGGTAGGAGTCAGAAGAAGCGAAGAATCTCGAGTTTCATAACCTAAAAACGGAATTTCCGGTAGATGTCTGAGATTTAAAGGATGTTTTGTATCTATTCGAGGGGGTCTATATTTTATGGTTTCTGTATTTGAACATTTTCGGAATGGTTTCTTTCTTGTTTACCTTTTCTTTACCAGAATAAAATTTTCCGAATTTATGATTTAAAATTATTTCGAAAGTATTTTCTAATGCCTTCCTTGTACACCCGGAAAGGATTTACCCGTTGTAAATCAAAAGTCCCTCATGTGGAAATGATAGGAATTCCGAATAGATAAAAATGTTTCTGTTCATATATTTTCCATGGTCCTTTTTAGTCCGCCAACCACCGGTCAGTGACCAGTCAGCGCCTTTTCGACTGACCTTAATAAGCCGTTCAGCAAATTTTTTTTTGAGTTGGTTCGATGTGAGAAAAATTAGATTCTATCATCATTCTATAATCTACTGTATGTATCTAATATTGTTTTCTGACTGATTCCCAATCACAACTCTCAAGTCGGTGTTTTCTGAGTGGTCTCGATTGTCCGTCAACGGTCAGTCGACGGCCCGTCTGTCCTCTTTTAGCTGGCAACCAGCAGCTTTTTCAGCTTTCATTTAACAGCAGTGCCCCTTTACCTGTGCCCGATTCTGTTCTCAAAGCTCATCTGTAATTACAGATCATCTCCAGAATCATTTTTATTCAAAACGTTTTTTAACTTCCAAAAATCACTATTGAAAAAATTCCTGATTCATTCACAAGTTCATACATTTGTTTTTCTTAAAAAATCATATGAGAACGCTGAAAATATTCAGCACGATGTGTTGAATAAGTAAGAACACCTTGAGAACCTTTCCCTCTCTTCCTTCCTTCTTCGCCACGTGGCACCGTTTTTTCTGTGTTTTCAACATCTTGTGCAAATGGAGTTTTTTGAATGAAAGATTCACGAAGGTTTTCGAAAAAAAACGGATGGTTATGAATGAGGAGAAAAAGCAAAGAATATGGATGTACAAAACAACTCAATTATGGCTTCCGGTCCACACTTTTCTAGAGTCACATTTTTCGGCTCTTTTTGAAAATTACGAAAACTTTGACTAGACATAAAGTAAAAACTGACTATCAAAATCTCTGTGGATACAGGAAGTCCCGTTCTGAATCCAAGAAAAAAAGCATATCTTTACAGAGACCGGAACAAAAATTAATTATTACCGCCCGAGAAAAAAAAAGAATTGAGTGGAAGAAAAAAAACGAAATGAAAAGCAACATTTTCTCACATTTTCAATGCGTTTTTGAGTTTGTTTCTTTCACTCATTTTCTTTTTTGCTTGTTGTGAATTCCCCAAGTTGTTGTTTTTTTCATAATTCAGAGGTATCTTATCTTTCCGATTTTTTTGAATTTCGAGAATTTCGAGATCGAAAATTTGGAATATAAATTCCAAAATACACGGTCTCCCACAGAAAAGTTCCGAACTGCAAATTAATTTTTGATCTACAGAAAAAAAATTTGGCGCGATCACAAATGCAAGTCTAAAGCCGTATTTTCAAGATTTTTTATCCGAGATTTTTTAGTTTTCGGAATTTTCAGAATTTTCGATTTTCGGAACTTCAGAATTTCAGAAAACTTCAGAATTTCAGAAATACAACGCAAAAATGCGATTTTGTGCAATTTCATGAGGTTTTTGAATTATAAAAAAAGTTTTATCAGGCGCATTAAAAATTCATCCATACAAAATGAAGAATAAACGATCGCGGTTCTTTTGAAATAAAAAAAACTCCTAGAAATGTTGAAAACTGAAAGAAGAGATACATTTTTTTGTAAAAAATCTTGAAAATTGGCATTTTTTGGAATATTTTTTTCCGGAAAAGGACCATACAGGATTCTATAACCACTAATTAATTTTTTAAGAATTATTTGAATCATCTTGAATCTCCACAAAATCAGATAAAAAATCTTGAAAATACGGCTTTAGACTTGCAATTGTGATCGCGCCACATTTTTTTCTGTAGATCAAAAATTAATTTGCAGTTCGGAATTGTTCTGTGGGAGACCGTGAAATACCAAAATTATAAAATTGTGAAATACTGAAGTTCAGAAGTTAGAAAAATTCCGACCTCTGGAATTCGGAATTTCGAAATCCAAAAATTCAAAGTTACGGAAACTCAGATACCCAGAAATTGAACATTCTCCGTAAAATTCAGAAATTCAGAATATTGAAAATTCAGAATATTGGACATTCAGAAATTCCAAAAATCTGAAATTCAGAAATTCAGAAATTCTGAAATTCTGAAATTCTGAAATTCTGAAATTCTGAAATTCTGAAATTCTGAAGTTCCGAAAATCTAAAATTCTGAAAATTCCGAAAACTCTGAAAACTCTGAAAATTCTGTAAGCTATGTAACTCTGAAATTCTGATATTCTAACGTCTGATTGGTATAATCCATTATTTCCCATTCCTAAATTCTTTATATTCTTAAATTCCTTAATTTTTGTTCTTAAATTCCTTAATTTTTATTCTTAAATTCCTTAATTTTTATTCTTAAATTCCTTAATTTTTATTCTTAAATTCCTTAATTCGATAACTTTTAGAATCTGAAATTTGTAATTCTAGAATTTGAGAGATTGAAACTTTCTCAACAAAGCAGAAATTCAGAATATTGAAAATTCGAAAATTCTAAAAACTTATAAATTCGGCAAATTTTGAAAATTCTGAAATTCTGAAAGTCGGAAGTTCAGATGTCAGAAAAGACCTGAACTCCGAATTTCGGAATATGGAAATTTTAAAACATTCAAAGCTAGACTCTCCCTAATAACGTCACATATTTAGGCATAAGTTTTTTGATTTTACGTTTTGTGTTCTGTTTTTTTTCAAACCAGATGATCTAATAGACGCCTGATTTAGATCGATTTGTTTTTCTGAATATTGCCAACTTTTAAATTAAAGGCTTGACTCGTACCGTTTTAAACCATACACTTAGTCAGGAGACCCCTTATCCTTCATATGATATGTACTTCTGGTTTCCCTATGTTTGCTCCCATTCCAATATTTTTTGCACCCTATTTTTTCTTCCATCTACTTTTCTGTACCCCCATGATTTAAAAAGTAGGACCATTGTCTCTTTACGACCTCCGACCGCTTTCCGCTCTTCCGTTCTTTTTTTCTGTCCTTTTATTACATTTTCCAATCAGTGAAAATGGAACGACAAGTTGAAAAAAAGAAACTAGCCCATTTTGCATTCAGCAGATGATGTTGGGTTGGCTTTTAGCAAAATTAGACATGAGCTGATGTTTGGTCTTTTTTTTGAGCTGAATATGGGATGAGTTCTGGTTATAGTTGATCTAAAGGGAACAAAAAGAAAAAAGGATAAGCTTCTGAAATAAAGAAATCCCACTTTTTCGGAATATCAGAAGCTCTGGGAAATTTAGGAAATTTGGAAAAACAATAATATACCAATGAACAGAAATTCTCATGAATATACGATGCATCTGCAAATTTACAAAAGTCAGAATGGATTGGTTTAATCAAAGCTTTTCTTGATAGGAATCTCTGCATTAGAACGATTTAATCGCTTAATGTCCTTTGGTACGCTTTCAGGACACGTATTAGTTTTGCAGCCTGTTTTGATAAGCTGGAACACCCACTTGGGTTCAAGCCAACAGGTCAAAAAACGCGCCTAAAATAACTTTTAGGCCAGAAGAAATTTAAGAATTTCCAAGTTGACGTGGATTTGACCTAATTAGTTTTAATCAACGAGTTGCAACGCGTGATTTTTTCGTGCAACGTTTAAAAGTTTGATGCTCAGCCACATAATTCAGCAGCGAATTTTTTCTACACGGTGAGTTTTTCACTACGCTGCTTCAACTTTGGAATTTTTTTCTCGAATTCTAGTCCATAACTTTTTTTTTCTGTTCCATAAATTTTTAGTAAATTTTATGAAGAATATATAGTAAAAAAATGAATCAGATTTTTTGTTCATTGTACTTTAAAACGTCGCAGACTGTTTCGCATTCGGTAGTGAAAAACTCACCGTGTTTCTAAAATCTCACGTTTACTGGGGCGCGATTTCTGACCCATTGGCTTGAACCCAAGTGAACACCTCAAACTTCTTTTAAGATATATTCAAGAATCAGAAAGTTTTTTTTGGGAAAATCAGTTTTAATGATGTATCTTATTTATTCACTATTTGAAGTCTGAAAATATTCACAATGAGTCTGTAGTCTATAGATGAGACATTTGAACGTAAATTAAATATTAACAGGGTGGTGCATAGTTACTCGGACTCAAGTTTGGACAAGCATAAAACTTGAGTAAAGTGGGCTCAAATTTGGAGTGCGAAAATTCAAATCATTCATCAGTAAACTGTCCAAGTTTCAGATTATTTGATAAATTTTAAGCTGAGTTATTGCTTGTCAAAGTTGCTTCATCTCATGATAATCCCATTGTGAGCCAAACTGTGAACGTGTTTTTCGAAGATTTTGTTTTGCTCCTCTCAAAAATTCAACCTGATCTTTACTGTATGATTCATCAGTTTCCAACCTTATTCCTTAAAAACCCCCGAAATTCCTACAACTTCATATTTTCTTGCTTTTGGTTCCCGACTACATTTCCATTGGTTATTAGTATTCCCAGTCTATACCGTTTCCTTTTTCTTTTGTTTGTTTTCTCAATTGCTAACTTTTTTCTCACGACTTCAATCCACTTTTCATCCCGTCTGAACTGAATTATTTACTACTGTATTCCAGACCTCCACACCTCGTTTTTCTTTCCATTATGGAGATCAAGAATAACTTTTTTGTTTCTGTCTCATTCGTGACAAATCTTCGTATCGAGAGCTAGGAAATAGAATAGGATAGTGATGACGTGTCAGAAGTATACTGTAGTTTTCAGTTAAAATCTGAAAAAAATGACTTCTAACTTTTCTGGAGTATCATCAATTTATTAAAGTCATTGATCAATTGGAGTTCTTCTTCTGGTAATATTCTAGGATTATTGAAAGTCTCGAAATTTGTTGACATTTCATCAAAAATAAATTATGATCTACATGTTCAGAATTGGGAAGTAGTCTCTGGAACGGGAAGATATTTCCGTTTTTCGAAGTATCATCTGCTTGTTCAGGCTTTTAGTATGAATTCGTGTCTGCGGATATGATACTTCCCTAATGAGGGCATGTCATATGACCTAGAAAATACTAGAAACAAAAATTCTAAAACAAAAATCCAAAAGGTGCTCGAGAATCTCTAGTTTTCTTGTTAAATTTTCTCACTATTTCTTGAAATCTGATATCTACTTTTTATCATTTTTCGTTAATTTTCTTGGTTTTTCAACGTTCCATTTCTGAAAATTCTTCTCTTTTCTTTTTTCTAATCCTTTGAATATAAATAGCAAATTTGGCAACAGGATTGTACTAGTGAACTAGCTTTCAAACTTTTTTTTTACTTGTTGCATATGAAAACTTCTTTAAAAGAGCAAATCTGATCCGCTTCTAATTGTGCCTCGGGGGTGTTTTGGGTTTTTTCAAAGATGACGTGATTTTGGACTTGAAGATGTTTCTCTTTTACTTTGAAATCTCGTTGAATCAGACGGATGTTTATATTAGTTCGTTATAATTTTAAAAATTCACTCAGCTGAATCCCTATGGTACATTCAAAAACTACTGTTTTTTTTCTCGAAGCTGCTCTTTAACCTGGTCCCATCCCCTTCATTTTCCCCTATTTTCGCTTCTCATCGTCACAAAACTCGTTTTCGTATTTCATTAGGCAAAAGCCACCGTTATCTTTTTCTTTTCTAGGTAAAAAGTGAGCTACGGTAGTTTTATTGAATTTCGAATAAATCCCCAAGTCTTTCAATCAGTGAAATGGAAATCAGTAGGAGTATGTTTTTAGAGTTTTTCGTACTTCGAAGAGATTAAAACAATCAGATTAAGAGGTTGAGGATGTTGTTTTATAGTGAACATTAACTTTTTGAAGAGAAGGCTAAACTAGGATTACTGTAGATAAGAATGATCTCAAACTCTTGAGTCTTTTAAAAGAATCCTGGATTCCGGATTCCGTTTTCCTGATTCCGTGATTCTGTTCATTTGGAATTACAGGTTCCGTAATAATATTTTTGTCCGAATTTCGCATTCCTTAGTTTGTTTTTCGGATTCAGCGCTCATTTCGTTCCGGATCCTTATTTCTTTATTCCGAGAAAATTATTTTATTTTGTATTCCGGATTCCGGATTCCGTTTCTCGAAAAAGCCTATCCGGACATCTCTGATCATTTGTTATAATTTCAAAAAGTACAAAAATATATTATTTCCTGGTGGTGTTAATCCCTTTCTCCTTTTTTTCCCTTTTTGGTTTCTTGTCGTCCCAAAAAGCTTTAGTATTTCATTAGGTAAAAACCACCCGAGCCGCCGTTATCTTTTTCTTTCCTATGGAAAAAAGGAGCTACGGTAATTTTATCGAGTTTCAAAGAAATCCCAAGCTTTTATGTCTTCCAATCAGTAACATTGAAATCCGTAGGAGTATGTCTTTTCGTACTTCGAGGAGATTAAAACAATCAGATTACAAGGTTGAGGATGCTGTTTTATAGTGAACATTAACTTTTTTGAAGAGTATATTACTGTAGATCAGTTACTCAAACTCTTGAGTTTTCTAAAAATCGTAATGCATGAATATTAGTCACCAAGTTCCCATTTCTTTTTTCAAATCAACATCAAAATCATCGTGATCATATGTTGTATTTTTCGGTTCCCAGACTAGAAGTGAGACCGGCTAACAAACATGAACAAATTCTGAATAATCACAATTTGTTAGGGGGGACTTTATTGAAAAGAGATAGAAAGAGAGAGAGAGAGAGAGAGAGAGAGAGAGAGAGAGAGAGAGGGAAAGGAATATGAAAGAAAAATAAATGTGGGAGAGCTGATGGAAAAAAGGTATTGTGGGGTTTTCGGCAGTGACACATTTTCATTGGGGCTCAGACTTATTTTTGCTGTTTTTATGTACGTAATCATCTCTTTCAGGAAAACAATTGGGTGCATTCTTTCAAAAAAAACGGGTGCATTTTTGTTTTTTAACCGCTAAAACTCTCATACAGGGTCAGCGATTTGTAAAAATTGCAGTAAATACTCTATTAGCATTCTACCCTATACTTGCACTTTGTGCCATACATCTCGGTTCCTGTGAAAGATATCCAAAAAGTGGTTGACTGGCAACATGCTCTTGATAATATAATAAATATTTTATCAGTGGACCATTTTTTAATATAAATTATCTAAACCGAGATATACCGGCTCAAAGTGCAAGTATACGGTGCGGTGGCCTTCTATTAGAGTGTTTACGATAGGGGATTCTTCTCCTATTTCAACTTCTAGAAGCAAAACATAATGACGGTCTAGTCTTGTTTTCCTACTCTTATCAAGTGTTTCTAATTCTTTTTGAATGGCCATTATTGTAGAATAAACAGCTTTGAAATATTGTGTTCTGAATCGAGAGTTATGACGTTTGCTGTAAGCGACACGGAAGCTTATCCCCATTGTTTACTATTCTAGATGAACTTCCGTAGTTCCTTAACCCTCTAATAAAAGGGCAATAGTCTATTGAAAGCTTACCATCCACTTTTTAATAATCTACAGTTCCCTCTGATCTATAGTCAGTAAGAACAAATTTGCAATATTGATCTCTTTTATTTGAACATATGTCAAATAAAAAAGGAAGAAAAGCATAGTAACGGAAGTTCTGAAGCCCTCGGTACTACCTCCCTTCTTATTAGTGACGTCTGTCTAGAAACATCAGATTCTTCCAATTCTGTTCATCCTCCTTTTTTTTTCAAAAAAAAATCATAAGGAGATCTCATTAGTACGAGAGTATCCATATACATCCATATCATATTCTCATCCGCTGATGAATCTCGAATAACTCCTCGCCTCGTTTTCTCTTTTTCTGCATGATTCTCATTAGACGTTTACAATACGTGGGTTTTGTGAGTCTCCAGAAGTTAGAAGCCATTGTAAATTCTGATGAAATCCATTGTTTCTCCTTCTTCTTTATCGTGGCATCCGTTCTTTCCATATGTTCTTCCGTCCAAGCTCGTTCCAATTGCACTCATCTAGCACATTAGCTTTTTCCTATTCTTTTCGTTTCCACTTTCCGGAAAAAAGAAAACTGAAAAAAAAATCCAAAAACTCATCCATTTTTCATGTTTCTCAAAACAAATTTAACCCGAAAAAGAAAGAGGAAAAGTCGTAAAAGATTTAGAGAATTGTTGCCAAAAGTTTTTGTTTCCCAATGGGAATTTTGATGGTTTTGACTCCTCATTTTTCAAATTTGCGACTGGTTCAGCAAAACAAATGAAAAAAAAATTCAAAAAAAAAAGACCAGTAACATCAGATATAACAAAATGTTGAAATTTCGATCTCCTCCTCATTTTTTTTCCCGAACTATCTGCTTTTGTGCTTAAAATGTGTGTTTCAGCCTAATGAAAATTTTGTATGGACGGAAATTCCAAAAAAAAATCGAGAAGTTGAAAAAACGCTGACAATCGCTTTCAGCTCAAATTCTTAGCTTCTTGGGAAGAGCGTGAAGCTGGAAATATAAGGTTCAATTTTTCTAATAGTTTATTTTGTCAACACAAAAAAACTAAATCAAAATTTGACCACTAACATCCGACACGGAAAGATTGCACAGGGTTTCAAAAGGCCTGGTCAGAAATTGCGCCCTAGCGAACTTGAGAATCGGATTTTTTCTTTTCGTTGGCTGAGTATCAAAAGTAAAACGATGAGCAAAAAAAGCACGCAAGACTTTAATTACTTGCGACATACTCCCACGTATGATTCAATTCAATATTCAAATCTAGGACAAATCTCAATTCTCATGATTGGATACTGTAGGCTGATCATATGAACAACAGAGTTAAGAAGCAACAAATTTAAGAAGATGATTCTTGACATTAACTGATAGGTTCTTGGTGAAACCCTGTCTGTGAGCCATTAGTGAGAGATGAGTCCTGTCGTTTTGAATTCAAAGAATTCTCCTAAATGATTGACATTATTCAGTTGGAAATCTTATTTGAAAACCAGACGACTTACTGCTAATTAGCATTCTCTTAATGATCACGTAACTCGTTTTGTACCTCAAAACACCGCCTATTTAGCCCGTCTACCACCTCAAAAGCCACCCATATTATTCTCAAAATCTTAGAGCTTAATCCGTTAAGCTTTCTTGCGTATTTTTGCTCCTTCTCCATGTACTATTAAATTTCACTCGAGGCGTTTTCTTTTTTTTGACTCTTCTCTTGTCTTCTAACTTCTCCTTCGCCACGTCATCTATGTCCATTGGCTTCGTGTATTCTCTTCTCCCATTCTAACAATCTCTTAGCATCATTTTTTCTCCCAATTTATTCCTGGTCTTCTAAAATTCTCTCTCTGCAATTGACACCGGAATTTGCTACATCCTCATTCTTCCTTTTCTCCTATTTTTCATAACGTCTTCTCCTACTCCTACTGAAACAAGTGGGCGTGGCTTTCTAGCAGTATGCGCTCTGAAGACTCCGCCCATTTCACGCGGTTCCCTTCTAGGGTCACTTTTAGTGGATAACGAAACGAACCTATGGTTCTTCTTCTTCTTTCTTTTCTTCTCTAGCTTTGAACCATTGCAATTAAAATTTATAAAATTTAAAAGGATTCTCTTCTGAAACTGTTTCACTTCCTTTATCTTTTTGGGATCTCCCATATCTTCTGAATATCACATTTCTTTCCTTTTTTCTCTTCTTCTTCCATTCCTTTGCTTGGTCAGTCAACTAGTGTCCTTTCTTGGAAGAGATAACCCAAAAAACGGGGGAAAAGAAGAATTTTTGGTATTTGCATAAACTCGAGACGCGTTCTTTTTCTCCCCCGTCAAGAGTTTGTTTTTTTTTCTTGGCTCTTCCTCCTCTCAACCAGTAATTTGATTCAAGTTTTGGTCTGTGAATAGTTGGGTAAAGTGAAGAAAAAGAAGACGTGAGAGGATTCTTCTTGTGATGAAAAGATTCAGAAGAAAGGTCAGAAGAATAGAAACGAAAAGATCGGCGGTAAATCTTGTTTCTATTTTCCAAAAGTTCAGACTTCGCCGTCTTTCTCGATTGCTCAATTTTTGATTCAGGACGATACAACTCTAAATAATAGGCCTATCTGCCTTAGAAACCCCTAAAGCCGCTAGGCCGCTGTATCCTACCTATCACAGATGTACCCCATCCAAAATGCTAAATCTGGTCCTGGCACAGCCTTGGTCTTCAGGAATTTTCCATCACTAGAATTCCAGAAACTTCCTTTCCCCGAATTTTTCCAATTTCCGAAATATCTCCCATTTTTACATCACCCAAATCCACCTCCTCCCTTCCGGTCATTCTTCATTTCCGTTTATGTATTTTTCACGGCTTCTTTTCACTATTCATCAGTTGTTATCATTCACTGTCATATCTCTAAAAAGAAGCAGAAACCTTTTTTTGTGCTCTGACATAAGGGACTGAAGTCACTGTATTTCTAAATCTATTTCCAGACCCTATTCCCAAGCTACCGTAACCTAAAATGAGTTGTATGGGTCTCAACTCGACGGAGCTCCAAGAAGCGAGAGACTATTTCAAACAGGTGAGTCCTTATTTTTTGGTTCTTGGTATACAAAAAATTTTTCGAAAAGCAAGCCTCTCTATCGAAATTCTGAATTTTTCTCACCTCATTATTGCGTTTTCTTCTTATTTCACGCTTTTCGATATTCTCACACCAAAAAAAAAGAAGAAAAAAACATGCTCGAACACACAAAATATACATTAATTGCCGACTCTGAATCATATTTTCCCCTTCTTTTCGTTTTTTTTGCTACCACACCTCTGTTCTGTTCGACGCATCAAGTTCGTTTATTATGGAAATATGGGGTCTGAAAAAAATGAGGAAAAAATGGAGGAGACAGAAAGATCAATGAGCTGATGGTGTGTAGATAACTTCCGGTTGTGTTAGAGGAGAAATGTAACAAAAAATAACATGAAAGAATAACATGGAGAGAGAGAGAGAGAGAGAGAGAGAGAGAGAGAGAGTCTATGAGCCTGATCTGGTTTAGATCATAAGGCGAAAATTTCGAACTGAGTAAGAACTATCTAAAAGTCCAAAGGTAGTTTGATGGAATAATCAAACCGTGCAACTTGAGCTAGCAGTTTTTATTATACGCCTGAGCTATCTGGATTAAAAAATAGCCACTGTGTTATTTGCAGTTCTACAAATGTTCATGGCATTTGGAAATCGGATTCTAGATCTAGTCGAAAATTCCTAGTTGTGATTCATGGAAACCAATTTGAGCTAGATATACGACTCTTGCAAATTTTAGTCCTGGGGAAAATTTGGCTCTGGGACATTTTGCCACCGGCATAATACAGGCGAATGGAAAGTTTCAGACTACCAAAACAATTTTCGGGTTTTCAAATATGCGTTTTCTGATTGAACATTCTCTGAAATAATTGAAAAATTCCAACATTTAATTTGTTTTAGTTTTTTTTTCGAATTTCTTTAGTTTCAGAATGTGTTACATCAGGGAAAAGATATTTGAAAGCGCTAAAATTGTTTTTGTAGACTGAAAGCTTTCCATTCGCCTGCATTATGTCGGTGACAAAATATCCCAATGCCGATATTTCGATCTGTTTCACTGTCATAATCGTTGGCTACCTTCTTTCCACCTAAAGCTTCCCCATTCCCATTTTTCCAAGAATATGTCTATCCTTCGTTTCCTTCCGGTCGAGAACCTTGAACCCGAACAAGAAGAGCTTTATCTCTTCCTTTCTCTTCTTTTCATACATTTTTCGCACAATTCCTTTTCTGTTGCGGCACTAAAATCGAATCATCGACGCTACGACAAAAAGAGGAGTGGGCTCAGCAACAGCCAAAAAAAAAGAACACACGGGGCCAATGCAATTGAGTTTTTTTTAAAGAGAAGGGAAACAGCATCATCGTACTTTTCGGACGCATCCTTTTTTTTGTAGACGCAAGGGGTTCTGAAAATGAAAAATAAATTAGAAAAGTAGGGCGACATCAGAAGCTTCAGAAGAAGAGTTTTCAGTTTCTCAATTAGTTAGAAGTAGATGAGATGACGCAAAAAAAGGAAAACGAATGTTCCTTTTTTGTTACAGGATTAGCATCACCGCTGCATGTGGAGGTGGTAGATACGTCAACAGAATATTTGGGTATTCCTTTTTTCGAAATAATCAACAAAATTCTTATTGGAATAGGATAGAAAGGTAGCTTTCTGAAAAAAAGCGAAAGTGCATCAGTAGCAAATACGGAATTTTTTCGCGACTTAAGATTTACAAATCTAGTGGAAATTTCTGTAGAGCATAGTTTCATATATTCCCTAATTAGACATATGATTTCTGAATTGTGAGACTGATGAATGATAATAGTTCGTCTGAAGGTTTGACAAGGGAAGTCGTTTTAGAAAGGGGTAGAGAATTTGCTCATTTTTTGACAGCGGTTAGTTTACGCCTTTGTAAACTTCCTGTCAAAATCTGTATATGCACTTTTTCCAAAAATGCTGAAAATTTTTGTCTGAAAGTTTCCAAATTTTTAACCATTGCAAGCTCCTCTTTCCTCTGTGATATCGCCTCCTGGCAACGTCTCGTGAACACCGTTCACATCCCCGCGCACTCTCTAGTTTTCAGTGGTGAGGTAGCCGAGTGGTAGTGGCGAGGGTTTGTAAGCTGAAGGTCTCGAGTTCGATTTCATCGTTTTGAAATTGTTTTTTGCTTTTTTTATAGAATTCATAGTTACCTATCTCGGGCTCCAAATAAGTTCTTGGCACGATTTTGCGAGTTTTTTGACGATTCTTAAACTTTGAAAAGCAGGAATCACCAATATTTTTCAAAGTGTTTTTTTCAGAAATTTTCAAAGTTTTTGATGGTCAACTCCATACGAAATTTTCGATGAAATTTTTTTGTTTGAAATTTCTCAACTTTTTTACAGAATGTTTTTTTGTGAGTTCTAATTCGTTAGACAATAGAACTTAACTGATACTTCTAGGAACCCCCAACCAACGTTTTAGTTCATTTCATCGAGTGCCAGCAAGCCAGGCGAGGAGATGCTTTGCGGCGGCGGTGTGCCTCATATGCCCCGTATATGCCCCATACCGGCGTCCTTTCCCTGTACCCAATTCATCGGCGCGTCCTCCGTCGCCCATCCATTATGCGTATGCGCGCCCAGGACCTGTGTACAGATTTTGACAGGAGGTTTACAAAGGCGTAAACTAACCGCTGGCAAAAAATGAGCAAATTCTCGACCCCTTTCTAACTTCCCTTGTGAGACCTAATTGTTTTGACACATAAGCAGAACATATAGAAAACAACGAATCCATCATTTTGTCTTAAAAATGAATTCCTTTTTTTTTCATTTCCGACGTCTCCGGAGACTTTTTTAAATGATACTCTTTCTTTTGTAGTTTTTTGATCCTAGACACCTCAAAAAGCGCACTTTGCATTTTCTTTCCAAGAAAAAAACTTCTGGAACTCAGTTGAGCAAAATGAAGAGATACCGAAAAAGGAACAGGGAAAAGGAAAGGAGAAAAAGAAGAAGGAGAAGGTATAAACATTCTGGATACATTTATCTTATAATATTTTTCTGAAAGATTTTCCTTCAGTTCAAAAATTACTGAAAATGATGTCATTTATGAAAAATGACTTTGTTGTTATTTGAGAAGATAGTACTAATTGGAGAAGGATCTTGATCCGGAAAGATGACGACCGAAATTTGAGATTTTGTGCACTAATTACGAGTGACAAATTTTTTGCCATCTAAATTAGGAGTATCTTGTGATCTGTCAGGAAAAAGAAAGTGAAAGCAAAGCAAACTTCCAAACCTACAAATTCTTATTTTCAGCTCCTCCTGCCCTTCACCTCATCATTTACCATCTTCCACAACTATGTCTACGTGTTCCTATGTGTCGTCGGAGTCTTCGCAAACATCTCGATCGTCGTCGTCTTGATTCGTCCCGCTATGAGAAAATCGCCATTCAATCTGTTTCTGGTCGTGATTGCTCTTTGTGATGCCTCTCTGATGGGAACCTATCTTGCCTACAAACACGTTGAACTCTGTCACCCGTGGTATTTCTCTTTTCCATGGGCCATCTACACCAAATTCTATGCCATCTTCTCCGTATTCGTTCATTCTTGCAGTCTATGGCTAACAGTCAATATGGCAATTCTAAGGTAACAACTCGGAAATGAGATATTACTATTTTTACTACTTCCTGTTTTGTTCCAGATTCTTGGTTCTCTATCGAGGAAGTCGATCGGAAACGAGAATCCCGCAATGCAATGGTTTTGGTGCTGCTTACATCGCAATCATTCTGGCTTTCCTAATCGCTTGCATCGGATGTCTTCCCATTTTCATTCGTTATAGAATCATCGAGGGAGAAGCTGGCGCAGTTCCAGATTTGTGTCTCGTGGGAAAGTATGCAGACAAGTGGGAACCAACGGATATGATCCGATTCTATGGGCTGAGTCAACCACTTTGGTGGAATTGTGATTTCGAACGAATCAACTATTGGATGGCTGGTGAGCCTAGCAATTGGAATATATCCTTATAAGGATGAAATGCATAGATGCAAAAACAAAAATATAGATGCAAAAACAAAAACATAAACGACCCTCGGGAATTTATAACCCATTTTTATTGAACATCCTTGCAGCCCAAAAATTAAAAACGACTCATTTCATGACTCATTTCAGCTCTGATCCTAAAACTGATCCCCTGTCTTCTCCTGACGATCTTCATGACACTTTTGGTCCGAATGCTCATTGAAGCTCGAGAACGACGATCCAGACTCTGTGGAGGAATGGGAAATGGAAATTCTCAAGCGGAGAGAACCACTGCAATGCTGACTGGAATCGTTGCCATCTTCTTGATCACAGAACTTCCCCAAGGAGTTTTGACATTCGCAGCTGGTGCCAGCCCTCGTCTGACCTTTTTGACACTTCAACTGAACAACGTCTTCGACCTTCTATCGCTCATTAACAGTGCCGTCAACTTTGTTCTTTGCGCTCTAATGTCTCATGTTTTTCGAAGGTTTGTGTTCTGAACATCACTAGGGATTCTTTCCTTTTCTGATGACGTGTGTCTGTTTGTGTTCATAAGTCAGAGAACATAATATTTTCTTTCAGAGAGTTCCTGCTCACCTTCAGTATGTGCTGCCCACAGTCTTCTGAGAATCACAGTGGTGCTCCAATCAACAAGACTTCGAATCGATCAGTAAGTGAAATACTATCACATGTAATACCATAACCAATTCCCGATTTCAGATTCTGTCGACATTCAGCAATATTGCAAAGCCAAAAACGTCGAAGAAGAACGGATTCCTTCCAGTGCCAACCAATTGTCCGGACGATAAAAATACTGTTCAACTGGCTATGAATTGATTTTCTTATTTCAAATAGACACTGCTTTTCATCCTCCTCTTTTCTTTAGGCACTTCTTCTCCCCTTTCTAGCGTTGTGAAAACTTTCCAAGTACTCTTTCGAGTGCAGTAGCGTCATTGCTTCCCCTGATAGATGATATCACCTCACGAGTGTGACTCTTTTCTAGTACCCTTTTTTGGAAACTTGCCATTTTGATGCCAAAACATCACCCCCACCCTCTCACCCCCCATTTCCCATTTTCAGATGCCTTCAGACCCATTGTTCGAATCGAATAATTGAATGCATCGTTTTCCGTCTCCCACATTTGTCTTCGTTTTTTAATTTTCTCATATAAATAAGTACCAAAAACAATGACCAAAACCATAACACGAAATATTATATTCTTTAGAATTTGAAATTTTAGAGGAGCGATATAAGGAATTAGCGTATATACTCCATAATAATGGCCCCGAAGAGTCAATCTCGAGTCAATTTATCTCTGTTCCTGTAGAAGATATCGAAAAATAGTAAACGGACAAATTGGAGCTAATATTCTGTCAGTTAATTACTTTCTGACATCTTTCACAGGAACCGAGATAAAATGGCTCAAAGTTGAAAGTTTCATTCTATTAGCGTATTTATGGTACATATATCTTTACTATTAACAATCACCAAATTCTGTGTGTGAGTGTGCATGTGTGTGTGTGTCCGGTGTTCCCGGGTCACCTGCCCTATCGAAGTCCATAATAAACCAAATTTTCCCAAATTTTCACAGATAACCCGAAATAGCAGCGAGATGATGCCCGAATATTTAATCTTTCGAAATTTTGTGTCTGGCGTCTTCTGGAGACGTTCTTCTATTTCTACAGTGCAAATTTTTAGAAAAATTTTTAGGAAAAGAAAGAAAAAAAAAGGAAAAAAAGAAAGAAACAGAATGCGAGGGAAAATATACAGCGCCCTTTCTGATCACTCGATTTTTCAGAATTCAGAATAATTTTTAAAATTTCCGAATTTATTCCGAACAAATTTCGGAATTTATAGATTTCTGAGATCTTATTCACCGAATATGTCAAAAAATTTCAAAGTTTCAGATTTTGCAACATTTCAGGTTTTCAATTTTCGGAATGTCTAAATTTTCGAAATGTAGAGTTTTCGAATTCTGCAATCTACATTTCCGATTTTCCGAAGTTCCAAAAACTTTTCGACGAGACTGTGTTTTGAAAAGTTGAATTTCTGAATTTCTAATTTTTCAGGTTCTCAAATTCTCGATTCTAAACTTTTTCGAAATTCTATAAATTTTGCGAACAGGGCCGTTTCAGGCCAGCCCCTTTAGTAAGTATGCAAAAATTTGAATTTTCCGATTCCTTAAAATCTGATATACCAAAATTTGGGTATTTGAGACACACAGATTGAAACACTTTTCTAGATTTCAAAACTAATGTTTTCCTACATCTGATTTTTTAAAATTTACTAATCTCTGAACTTGCGAGTGTTTTACTTTTTCAATTTCCGGATTTTCTTACTTCCGACTTTCCGAATTCTAGGAATTCTAAATAACCAAAATATCGAATTTCGGAATTTCCTAACAGACCATGAAAAAATAGTCCCTGGAAAAATGACAAAACCTGTCTATAAGACAACGGGTACTGTAAGCGGGAGCTAGGAGGCTCAGCCCGGAGGGGCGCAAACCGACTGTTTTTCAAAATTCGAAAATTTCGAAATTCAGAATTTTTGGAGACCAGAAAGTTTAGTAAACCTGACATTAGTTATCTAAAATTTGAAACTTCAGGAAACCGGAAGTTCACATACTCCGGCTTTCAGAACATAAAAAATATTTTTTCAGTAGTTTGGAAATTTTGGAAATTTGGGAAATCAAATATTCCTCGAAGAAAATTGATAGTATGCAAAACTTTCACTAATTTTGGTGAATTCGGAAACTCGAAAATTTTTAAATTAGAAATGCAATTGTAAGATACAGAAAGCGGAAGCCAGGAGGTTGAGCCCCCGACAGAGGGCGTAAAAAGACTGGTTAGATAACAAATGCAGAAGTAGTAGTTTCGTTTTTATTTTTGAGCCCGGCACTAAATTCTTTTTGCAATTTTCCTTTAGCAAAAAAACGGAATTTCTGAATTGAAAAATGCGGGTTTGAATATCGTAAACAGAGTGATGCAAACGACAAAATTTGATTACAGTTGCACTGGAAAGTTTAACATTTTTCAGAAGGATCTTAAATTCAAAACAAGGTTTAGCAACAGACATCAATTTCAAATAATTTCAGGTTTTTGCACATTTTCAGATATTCACATTTACAGAATTTTTTTTTTGCGAATTCTTGATTTTTCTGCAATGACAATCAAAAATGTTTTAGATTTTCAAAGATGTACAGAGTTTGAAAATATTAAAATTTCAAAAGACTTTCAGATTTTCAGATTTTTGAAGCTTCTCAGAAACTCTTAAAAAATCTCAGAGTGTTTAACTTCCAGAGAAACTCCAACCGAAACCGAAACATGTCCTTGACTGCCAATCCACCAACATGCACCGTCCCAGCCGCCGGAGGAACCTCGACCCACAAATTGGTCAATGGAGGAGCCGACAAGTTTATCTTCAAGATCAAGTCGTCAAATAACAATGAGTACCGTACCACCCCAGTGTTCGGATTCATCGATCCGACTGGATACCATCACTCGCACTGCTGGAGCACCAAAGGAGGACAAGCTCACTTCGCCAATGCCCCAGCTGATGCCACTGACGCTCAGGCAGCTTTCGCTGCCGTCACTCCAGCTGGAACTGTCACAATCCCAATGTTTGCCACTGCTTGAACTCTATTCATAAGTGTTGAGTCCTTAGGATCCGGCATTCTGGCCGGTTCAAGGAATACGAATAGTAGTTATTAGAATACTAGTTTTTTTTTGTTTTACAAGAGTTGTTCAGAGTTTCAGTTTTTCACAATTTCTTAAATTCAGATCCTTAAAATATTTTCAGAGTTTCGAAAAATTTTTGATTTTCTAAATTTTCCAAAATATTCTTCAAAAAAAAAAAACTGAAATTACTTTTCAAATAGAAAATATAGAGCCTCTTATTAGTAGTTTGCTGATAGATTCACATTCTTATCAAAAACAAAAACAGAAACGAATTCAAATCAAACATTCATTTCAAGTTCGGTAAACAAGTTCACTACTCCTTTTCTGTTCACTTCTTGTCCTTATCATCCTGAAAATATATTTTTTAACTTAACAAATTCAAAGTCTACAACCGAACCCTATCAGAAACTTCCGTAATGATTGGATTCTCAACAAGAGCATCCTTTTTCGGCTCTTTCTTCGATCCATCTTTTTTGGAGCTTTCCTTTTTAACTTCTTCATCTCTATTAACTTCTACTTTTGGTGGTTCTTCTTTTTTCTCTTCCTTCTTTTCCTCCTTCTTCTCCTCCTTCTTATCATCCTCCTTCTTCCCATCATCATTCTTCTCTTCCTCCTTTTTCTTCTCTGATTTCTTCTTCTCACTCTTCTTTTCAGATTTTTTAGCGTTATCCTTCTTCTTATCTTCCGCCTTATCTACAGACTTTTCCTTCTCCTCACTCTTCTTTTCATCCTTCTTTTCCTCGGATTTTTTCTCTGATTTCTTTTCATCTGCCTTCTTATCCTCACTCTTCTTATCCGACTTCTTATCTTCTTTCTTCTCTGATTTTTTCTCCTCCTTCTTTTCTTCTTCCTTCTTTGATTTTTCTTTCTTCTCGACTTCTTCCTTCTTCTCCTCTGGTTTTTTCGCTGGCTCCTCTGGTAAAGGAGTCTGAGGAACAATCGGAGAGATTGTGGAAGTTACTGGTCTCACTGCTGAAATTTTCATAACTTTTATGTCAGCTCCTATTTCGTTTTTTAAAACTTACGCGGTTGCTGAACACTCACTGGAGCCTTGTTCTTTTTCTTTAAAAAAAACGAAATTGAAGGAAAAATCCAATATTAAGGTGAAATATATACCTTTCCACAAAAGATGAGAGCCGTCGAGATAACGAGAAGTTCAAACACGGTGAGAACGATTAGCATCGGCATCTTGACTCCGTTTTCAACGACAATTACTTCAATGAAAAGCAATGTACACAGTTATGGGAATAACAGAACAATAAGTACAGGAAAATATATTTTTCTAGGAGAAAAAACTGGAATGGTCAATGTAAGGTTACGTTTTTGAGATTAGGAAATGGGAACGCCTGGGACAAAAGTACTGTAACTCGAGAGTAGGCTTTGAATACAAAGAATCAGATGACGAAATGTCTGAATCCTAAAATTCGATAATTTGTTATTCCTTTCGTGAGCAACAAGTCTAAATACATGGGGATTATCAGAAAAAATTCTCATGAGATTATGAAAGTTCCCTGTGGCAGCTCACATTCATTCGCACGAGCACTATTGAGCTGCTATTTTTGTTTCATCGTTTTCCTTCATGATCCGAAGATTTTTTTGAAGTTATTAGGATTTTTTGTATTATTCCCGGATAAAAAACTGACACCAGCGATCGTATTATTGCTAAAAAATAAAATTTTGGTTCAGAAAATGGCACTAAATTCACAGAGATTTATTTCGTTTAATACAGTATCCGATTTAGGGGCCGGGTCTTATAAATTGACACGAGGCCTCTAGGTGCAACTTTTTTTAATTCGCCAATAGGATCCAAGCTTTTTTTTGAAGTGATGAAGTTTTTTTCCAAATACAACATTTGTATTTTTTCTTATTTCTCCCATAATTATTCAGTATTGAAATATGTTTTGTTTCTATCTCTCACTTTTGTGTTGATTCTGTTCATGTCCTATGCAGATGTGTTATACGGTGACCTATTTATCGAAGCACGAGATGTTGTTGTAATGTACTTACAATGAATGACGAAACAGAGAACACATATGCGCAATCTGATTGCGCGTTTTTTTCCTTCCATTTGGACTCTAGAAAACTATACGAGTAAGCACATTTCGAAAGAGTTTACCTTCTAATAATGTCTAAACTTCATTTTGAAGAATCAGGAGCTTTATCCGGTTATTCAGATACCCAATGCAAACTTTTCTATTTTATGTTTTCAAATTATCTATCTCAATCTGAAAATTGTTAAAATGGAGAATACACTCTGTTTCCATTTGTCAACACTATTATATATCCCCACCCCATACGTGCCTTTTGAGTTTAATTAGATCGATTCCTGTGAAAGATATCAAAAAATTGTCAACAGATAAAATGGTTATCATAATATCATCAATACTTTATCAGTTAATAAATTTTTGATAACTCTATGGTAATTGTGCTCAAAGTGGACATATAGGGTGGGCTTCTGTTTGAACGAATGTGGTATTCGGCCAGCTTCAAATCACTTATGAGCTTGAAGTGAACAATTCAATGCTCAAATGCAATATACTTCTATCCGATACTTTGGATTCACATTCATGTTTAAATAGTTTCAGTCACGATAAAAACATGACAAACCATTAATTTTAAATTAACTGGGATGTCGGCTTAGCTACTCGACTACTATCCCGGCTGTCAGCTTGTAACTTTTTGTCAGAAGTTGGTTGTGATATTGGCGAAGTTCTACACGGAACTTGCCGGAAAACGGCTGTATAACGGACCATCGTCAGATTTTGCTCGAAAGTAATAATCCATTGGAACACTTATCATTGACTTATTTGACGATGCAATGTATTCGAACCACCTAAAGCATTTATTTAAAAAAAAATTTCTGACAAGATTTTTCTCCCGCAAATGTGATTCATCTTATGATCGAACCTGCTCTATATTCATTCTATTTGTTTGAGACCCACTCATTACTTTCCACACTCGAAACCCATTCTTAATTAGGAACTAATCTTACCAATTATCAGATTTTCTCGATATTTTGATGGCGTTCTGTTTCTAATCGGAAGCCTTTAATTAAGCCTGCATTACTAGACTCCATGCTCTTTTCACCTGCTCAACCCGTCCCTGCTTTCAGTGCGAGGTTCACAATTAGCCATACATCTGTTTCAATAGATTGAGCCGTTGCGTGTTCGAAAAGCGTCCCTTTTACACATCTGAATGTTACTTTCCCATCCCTCTCTAATGTCCCCATACTTGTCAAAATCCGGGCCGACCGGGTGACCCGGCCCGGTCGGCCCGTGTAGCTGATTTTTCGAAACATTTCGAGAAAAATTTATTGAATTTCACCTCAAAAACAACTTCCTGGGATAATTCGCCCTTATAAAAGTATCGAAACTTCAAATAATAGAAATTTTGATGAAAACTTCAAAATTTTTTTAAAAACTTCAAAATTTTGAAATTTTAGAGTCTGACCCGGGCCGGAGAATTTTTCATTTTGACCCGGCCCGGCCCGTGACATGTATGGTTCCCTCTTTTTACCACCATTCTTTAAGTGTTGACTTGCGTACCTCTTCCGTGTTTTTTTTTGTAGAAAACGCCCTTTTCATTTTCGATCCCTAAAGTAATCCTTTTCATTTTCGAATGTTCTTCCCCACAGTGACCCTTTTCATTCTCGATTTTTCTCTACAGCAATTCCTTTCATTTTAGGAATTTTTCCCCTTTTCATTTTTCGATTATTTTCCTTACAGTAATATCTTTTCATTTCCGAATACTTTTAACTACAGTAATCTAACGCCATCCTGATTGGGAAGAATTAAGAAAGAAAATCATGATATTGTTCCTTGATTCAATTTTTTGAGTTCTCTCACAGATCCGTATCTGCTAAAACTTTTCGTTTTTTCATGCTTCATTTTTTTGGGCTTTGTTTTTTTCAGTTCCTAAAATAGGGATATCCGGGAAAAAACGGACATTTTCATATTCTGAAAGATATCTTTGCGGAATATTCTAAAATATCTGAACATATGTTAAAATTCTATACATAAAACCTGTTCATCCTGTTGGAATTCATTTCGTCAAAGGCTCGGAAATTTCAAAATTTCATTCCGCACACCTCTGCTCAATCCCTTCCCTCCTAGCATCAGATTACGGTAACTCTATTTCTGAAAAGTTGACGTCAATGACAATAGCTTTCTTATAATTCGCGGAAAAGGCCAATTCAGACCATTTTTCTTCCCAATCGTTGCCCCCAATCACACTCCTTCCGACACAGACACATTCGCTTTTATTGCACACAAAATGAGTTCCAATTACATAAAATAGAGCCGAGACAAGAAGAGGGAGAGTTTATGAAAAAGAAGCAAAACTTGGGCCAAGCATATCAGGAAACAGAAAAGTTGGAGAAAACGTTTAAAAGAGATAGGAATGAAGACTGAGATCAGAATAGAATTAATTGAAGCTCGAATAGAGTCTCTGCCGTTCGGAGTACTTGCGAAGGAAGCGAATGATGACGGTGATTGTGAGGCTGACACAGAAGGCGACGAGCAAAACCACGAACACCTGCATCCTGGTGCTGTCGTCCTCCGTGTCGGTTATCTTCGGGAACGGACGGAGAGTGCGGACCTCGACTTCCATTGATTCCTATAAATGAGAATATTATCCGGGGAGATGGGAAGAGCGTATAAAGACATCATGGTTGATATCCGTATCTCAGAGGTTCTACTCATCTGAGTTCAAGTTTGATTCAACATCTTACGTCATTTGTCATTTGATATGAGTGTATGACTTTGATTAATTTCAAAATTACGTCTTCCAAAGAAGTCAACCGTTAACAACACCTGAGAACAGCATGCTAACAGTATCCTATGAGAACAACATGCTTGTTTTATCTCTCAGCTATTCAACCCGTACATACCTCACGAACCTCACGAATGTCTGCCTGGGTGTTCCCGGCGATCGCCAAGAGCAGGAGAATTGAAAGGAGCGCCATGAGAAAGCAGGTGACGAAGTGTTTTCTTTAACCAGAATACCGGGGGAAACGAGAAGAAAAGGAGGAGAGGCAGATGTTTCTGTATCCAGAGTAACCCGGGGCAACACTCGTGTGCTAGGCGGGTCCTTTATCAGAAAAGAAGAAGAACAAGCAGGCGGCCCTGAGGATGTTGGAAGGAGAAGCAGAAGAAGTGGACAAAGAAGAAGAAGGAAAAGAAAGAAAGAGGGTTTAGGAAACGGAAAAAAAGTAGATTGATTCGGTACACTAATAGAAGCGAGATGTGCCGTTTGAAATGGACTAATGAAGGAAGGGCATGACTGAATGCAGAAATAGAAAAAGCCAAGAGAAGATGCTCAACTACTTCTTGACACAATAACAATGAAAAAACCACAGTGATTGTATTGTGGTGCTTCTTGGGAGGGTCAACAACACGTTGTTGTTCATCTGGAAGCTGAAGTTTTCCTCTTGGGAGGCATGTTGCAATCTAAATGATTGAAATCTAAAGTGCTCATTCCCCATATCCCACAAGTAACTGAGAATAGGATACATTGATTTCTTAGCATACCATGAACCGAAGAGTACACTGACTCTGTCTTGTTATCTCAAAAAAACCGATTCGTTTTTATGGGGAAATCGATTGTGAGATAGACCAAATCATTATTCTCTAATTGTAATGAAAAAAAAATTGGACCGAATCGTTCGAGATTATAAAAGTTTTCAGTTGGGATTTCTGCATATAATAGCTAGTAGTAAACCGGAAATGAGAAGGTGAAAGATGTGGAGTTATACCAAATGATAAAAGCGAAAATAGTTGATAATAAGTATATGATAGACAGAGGGATCCCACAATCAGACATCTACTTCTTCCATTTTTTTTTCAAGGATTTCAACATTTCTCTACCGTAATCTATTAGAAATCGTCATCTTCCTGTTTGATCTGGAGATCCGAGGGATTCTAGCCCAAATATTACAATAAAATATCACAATAGGACACCTAAAAATTTTCGAAATTACAATTGAAAATTGTGAAAAACAGAAGACACAGTCTCTTTTCAAAAAACTTTCGGATTTTTAGCCAGCACCGTATGCGTATTCCTGTAGTCTCAGACTTTAGAATATCGGTGTTTTTCTATTTCAAATATTTGCAAAATGAAATAAATGTCATTATTCTTGTTAGTTTTATTCTACAACTGTTTAAAAATTTCTCTTTTTATTTCAAAAACTAATTTTCCCAAAACTGATGACCGGTACCGATTCTTTTGGTGACGTCTTCACAGCTGGGCTTGAAAGTACCCCGTAGACTCTGTACTCGCCCCGCCTCCTTTTCACACCCTCGTCTTCTTTCTCGTGGGCAGAGTCTAAAGCAAGCCTGGCACAGTTTTTGCTGGGTTTCCCTTCCTTTCCCTGAGTTCCTCGAGAGTTTTTTTCCCCGGAATTTGCGGGGTCTCTCCTCTCGACTCGTAAAAAGCAAGTGCGCTCTTTCTGCATGGGCAAGAGAGTAAGAGGGGGAAAAGTCTCCAGGCAGTAGTTTTTGGCGGAAAAAAACTCAAACACTAAATATTTTCAAAAAGATGCAGGATGGTTTTCGTAAAATTGAAGTTTTCGATGATTTTTCTGATATATTTATGTAGTTGAGATGAATTTCCAATTATCAAACTGTGAAATTTTTCCTGGTTTCTTGAGACAATTTCGGTTGCCAATATAGACTTGGGATTTCCTTCAATCGACCAATTAATATCTTTCTCTTTTTGTGCTTTTTTGTGCGAATATCCATATTCGCTAAAATTAATTTTTTTATTCTCTATCACCTCCGTTGTAATTGTCTGTCCTTTTTCATTGTAATTGTGCGCTAGAAGAACCAGCCATCTGGGTTATTTATCCTTATCTTTTTTTCTGTCTTTTCTATGGAAAAAATGGTATTTTACAACTGTAAGCAAATACTATTATGTTTCAGGTATCCAGATGACAGCAAACCAAAATCTGTATTCAGGCTTCTTCTTGAAATGTCTTCCAGACAACGAAAATGGGGAACATTTGATCCGTGTCGCATGCTTCAAACCTGGAACTACATTCCGAAAGGTTCTGGAGCTTACAACTAACGTCTCCTGTGAACGGAAATTTGGAGAAATCGTTCACTTCTGGTCGTTGTGAGTTCATGAATTCATCAAAAAATTATTGTATACAACATTTTCGCAGAGATGGAGAAATGACTGATAAGTCACACATCAAGTTCAAGGATGACCAACCACCGCTATTCCAGCACGAGACAGCAGCGGTGAACGAAATTGTGGTATTTTTAAGGTTCTCTCTGTGAATACCAGGTTTTCGATTTTAGCACCTGATCCAAAATCATCAAGTCAACATCCAAGATATCCGTCCTCTCAACGTTCTGTGGCACTCTTTTCTCGGAGAAATCAACTGTGACCGCTTTCCACCGTCACCAGCAAGGTGAGAGAACTTTGATTTCTAAAAAAAAATGTCTTCTTATTTTATAGATACATGTTCCTCTTGATTCAAGTCAACGTCAAAAAGGATACATTTGAGATCGAACTTATGGGTGGAAGAGAGGAGGATTTGAAGCAAAAGAAAAGCTTAGATATCACACTCGAACAGCAAATTGCAAACTACCCGGAGGTTTTGAAGATCGAGAACGATCACACTTGCCAGGCAAGTCTAAATCCATGTTGTGAGTTATAAAACAGAGTTCAGAGTGAGAACAGTGCTTGGAAAGAAATCGGGTTTTTCGAGCTGAAGAAGTTCAGTGATAAAGAATTGACCGGAGGAATTCGAGTGATTTTCCGATTGTGCGATAGCAAAGGGCTGATCTCACTGAAAAGACGGAGACAGGGTAAAATGATCATAAGGGTGCTGTTGCAATGAAGGAAGGTGTTTTTCAGCATATCCTGCGAAAATCATCAAACAACGAATTAATGGAAATGAGTTCGAAGATGACCCGAATTACTCGATCGAATCTGGATCACTATTCGAAAGAGAGAAGAAAAATAAGATTATTGAAGAGGTATTTTTGTCTTATCGTAAAACATGTAATAGAAGAGCCCCCTAACTTCTAATTTGAGCCTATTTTTCGACACATTTGTCATATCTTGTATAGGAATCGAGAAAAAATCAAACTTGACAGGGTGGGGGGCTCTTTTATTACGGGTTTAACGACTACTTGAAAACCTGAAAAATGGAAAAAGATTGGATTCTTCCAAGAAGTACGTACTTCAGCCTATTCTCATTGCAGGAAGTTGTGTGTAAATTGAAGTCTGAAAGCCGAGCAAGTTTCGAAAGAAACTTCAAAGCAGGGGATGTATTCCGTTTCGAAAGCGAGCAAAATCCAAGCAATGTCGAATTTTGGCAGTAAGATTAGTTCCACCAGATTGAAAACTTTTAGAAATTTTTAGAAAACAGCTCCAGAAAATGATGCCTCTCTATAACCTCACCATTGATGATGCTCCAGAGTCACTGCAGGTGCAAGATATTCTCGACAACCATCAAGTGGAAGCAGAAAAGCTTCGGAAGCTAACAGACAAGGGTTTTCCGCCGATGAATTTAAACCCCTCCCAGCTTCTCGCTATAAGAATGGCTATGAACGAAGACAGACCACTTGTTTGCATTCAAGGTCCGCCAGGAACTGGAAAATCGCATACGCTGTCCTATTTACTCTTCCGAATCATGAGATCGAAGAAGCAAGCCGTTGTTTTAACACCTACCAGAGAAGCACTGAAGAATTTGAAACAGATGACTGAAAAACTACTCAAAGAACGAGAACAGGAATTCCAGGTTCATGAACATGGTAACTTTTTATTCTCTGATTTGATTCTACTACTTTCTTTTTAGCACTCATGGATATCAAAACGTATCATAAGCTGATCGATGCGTCAGATGAAGCAAAAAGTGCGATAGAGCAAATTGTAAGTTGTTTTTTTGGCCTCAAAATCGAAATTATCATTGATAATAAATGTTTTATCGGAATTATGAAACTGTCACTCCGTGCAGACGCAGTAGAAACATTATGTTGTTTAGCACTGAGTCTGCAAAGACGCATCCATTTTTGTATTCGGAAAATACTTTCAGCGGAGTATTCGGGAAGATGCACAGATGGGAGAAATCGCACACGAAGATTACTCGGAAAGCAGTCGTCGTCTGGAGAAAGCAGTCTGCAGCGAAGTTGGGAGGGTGAGTTCTATTTGAAATATACGATTTTTCATTATAAACTTCAGGAGATCCTAAAAAACGTTCGAGTCGTATTTTCCACAATCGAGAGTTCGTTTGTCACCGAAGTGATGAAGGTCCAATCGTTTCAGCCGGCCATGTGTCTTGTTGGTGAGTGTTCCAGACAATCTACGGTATTATACTTCGATGAAGACCCATAAATTCAAAGATAATGCTCAAGCAAGTGACTAAAAACTATTTTCTTGAAACTTGAGGAGACTTACTCAGATTGTTCAAAGTTTCAGTAAATTCTCAAAGATTGTCTGAAAACACTTGTAAGTAGCCTTGTGGTAGGTTAGTGCAGTGTTATTCGTTTAAACTTGCTTCCAAAAAGCGCTAAAATTTTAAACTTTAAAAATTGTTACTTCAACTAATACTAAAATTAGTCAGTATTCTTTAAATTATGAATCAATTTATGATTCTGTAATTCTTCGTTTGAAAAAGTCTTTTTCTGATCAAGAGGCTTCCTCCAATGCTGGTTTTATCTTTTTTTAACTGTGTATCGTTGTAGATGAAGCTGCTCAAGTGATGGAATGTCAGACATGGCCAGCAGTATTGAAAATGAAGAAGCTCGTCTTGGCAGGAGACCCAAAGCAACTTCCAGCACTCGTGAAGACAAAACTGTATGTGCTCTTTCAAGTATCTATTTTTCAATTTTTTCGGAAATTGTTGACTTTTTTTTTGAGAATATGTATATTATCTCAATATGGAGATATGGAATTCCGAATTTGAAATCTTTCTTCGAAACTGAAATATGGAATCCGAGAAATATGAATTTTCAGCGGAAGAGATTTGAAGCTCAATCAATCAGTGATGGAACGTCTCATGCTGAAGAAAGAAAACTATAGTTGGGTGATGCTTAACACCCAGTATCGAAGCCACGAAGAAATTACCCATTGGTCGAACTCTTGCTTCTATGACTGCCATCTGAAAAGCTCTACGAAGGACGAGAAAAAACTTGTGTAAGTTTGGCGATAGTACGGGTGGTTGCTATTCCTTAAAATTTCAGAGATGAGTTGAATCCAAAACCATCTTTCACCGGATTATATGAACCTATGGTCCACATCGATACAAGTGGGGTAAAAACGGATCCTGAAAGAGCGTTAACATATGAGCAGCGAGTGACACTAGTAACTGATGGCGAGAAAGAGTACTCGTATTCTAACATTGGTAAGTTTCCTTTGTATGAATCAAGGTTGATCTGTTTATTGAAAATTTTAGGCGAAGCCACTTACGCCATGCAACACTATAAGAATCTTCTCGACATGGGTGTTAAGCCCGAGAATATCGCACTCATTTCGCCATACAGAGGACAGGTACCGTTTCGATTTTTGAGTTTGAATATTTTCCCAATTTTTAGATCGAGTTGTTGGGCAGGATGATTGATGAGTATTGCAAGACATCCAACAATATGGATTGCAAAAATACGAAGATCGGAACTGTGGACAGTGTGCAGGGCCAAGAATATGATGTTGTTATATTCACTTCTGTCCGGAATAACCCAAAAAGTGAGCTTAGTTATTATAGTCTCGTTCTGGAAGTACACATCTGGAAAATTAGCAAAATGGGAGTTTTCTGACCTCGAAAATCGGTTTTCAATACTTCCGCGTAAAACGCGATGGTGATAAAACGCGAGCTGCAAATGCTTAGTTTTCCGTTTATTTAGGTCGGAACTTGAAAAATGTCTTAAACTTCACAAAGCCTTATGTGTGGCTGGAAGTAAATTAGAAGAAACAGTTTTTCAAATTCCAAGAAAAACGGGTTTCGTTAAATACTTTGAGATTATCCAAGAAAGACGAAGAGCGTACAAAGATAAATATTAAATTTCAGAAAATTTCGGATTTGTGTCCGACGTCCGCCGTCTCAATGTCGTCGTGACTCGAGCCAAGCGGCACTTCGTTCTGATTGGAAGTGGATATATGTTCAAACATAACCATATTTCCGAAGTCCGCAGATTGTTTGAGTAGGTGTCCCTGAAATATTATAGGTCAGAAAAACTACATATTTCAGTACCATCCGCAACTGGAATCAACGATTCCATCCAGCAGTTCTAACCGGAGGGTTCCCGGTCTGGACCTCGAACCGAGGAACAACTTTGGATTCAATTTTGAAAATTTCATGAAAAACTCGGAGGATACTGACATGATTGCATGGTGTGAAGAGTGGATTAGGAATGGCAAAGACCCTCTCAGAGCACAGACTGATGATTGGAAGTTGAAAAAACTGCGGGATGAACTGAGATCTCAATTATACAGAAGCCTTAATGATGAAAATTCGTAAATTGTATCAGTTTCCAATCGTATTTTTTGGTTTTTCTTTGTGCAATGCTCTCTGTTTTGTAAAATTATCTCATTTATATGTACTGCAAACTATTGTACTCATACACTGACCACTAATAAAGCAATCTGACCACTTGATATACATTTTCTTATAGATATAACTGTCATTGTCAAAGTTAAATATCTTCGTAATACCAGCCTTTCGATCTTTCTCTGTCCGGAAATAGAGCCGAAAAAAGTTCTTTCAGCGTGATGAACTCAGCTACACATGTGTTAGATTTGTCCGATAGAGAGAATGTGGAAAATTATAATCAGATCATCAATGTGAAGCTCGAACAGTTTCCAGTGCTGTTCAGAAGATCAATATGCATTCATTCGTCGCTTCAGTTTGTTGATTTGCTCATGCAAAATCTGATGTTCTCGTAAGATGCTTTTTGTTCGGAATGAAAAAAAAATAATGTTGATTTCAAGACATGGATTCACATCCACTCCAGTCATCCCGAATCAGAACAACGGTGTGACAAATGCGCCAAAAACCATGATTCCCTTCTATAAGGTTCGGTGGGAGATATGGTTCTTAATAGAAATATATTGATTTTCAGATTCGAAAAGAATTCCGCGAGATCTTCCGTTCTCGTCATCGAAATACATTATCTGAGATTGCAATGTTTGTTGGACCTTGTCCAGTTCGCTCAACTTACTCATATCGTAAGTAACCTCATGACTTAGAAATTTGAGATTTTAATGAAGTAAAATTCGAAATCAGTTTTCAGGCGTTCCAATTTTCGTGTGTGAAGCCGAAGATTCGACGCATGACAGTTGTGGAGACACATGTGGCGAGTTGTCCGACGTCGAACGTCGGAAGATCAACAGAGATCTATTCATGCACAGCTTGAAAGATCAAAACGACAAAAAAATGTCGAATAAGAACCATCGATTGTTCGTTTTCCTCAAAGGATCGGAAGACATGGTCAACGAAGAAATCGAAGAAGAGTGCGTTTTCCCTGCAATCCTAGATTTAAATGATGATTTGAAATTTCAGAGATCCACCATTCGATTGCAAATCCTGTCACGAATATTCTTTCGTCCATGAAAAATGCAACTGCGAAGGAGTTCGAGCAATGCGGACCGACGGAAAATGGTTGCGAATGCTTCCGTTCATTGTGCATTCTAAACACTAACTAATTCATCTTATTGAAGCTCTTCCCACTTCTGAATATGTTCCACCCTCGTTATTCAACAATGTTTTCACTAGATTCAGTTGTTTTGCAATCGTGATCTCGGATAGGCTCACCAATCATCTCGTTTTTTTTCTTGTGATCTGTTAATTTCATATTTTTCCATAAACTCATATTTTATCTATTTACAACAAATTTTGCGAATGACTTAGTCAGGTGTTTTTTTCTATCTGAATACCTCCCGATATTGTCAATTGTTTGATAAAATTTGATTGGCACAGATTCAAAATTCAGATTGGCAATCGAGTTGGACAATGAGAACGACATCTCACATTCTCACTATTCTTACTGCTTTTTTATTTTTCGTACCCACAATTGGATCCAGTACTGAGATGTTAGTCAGCTATTACAGAGGAGTCAATAAAGATTTCTTTCAGTAAAGAAGTCAAGCCTCTGAATTGCGATGGCAATGCTGGTCTATCCTGTGTTTTCCCAAAAGACTGCAGATTGGGTGAAACTGTAATGGTCAATTGCACAACTCGAAACGATTGCCCTAACCCAGTTAGCAAAAACAACTTGGAAGCGGTTTGCCGTTTTTGTTGGCAACTACCAGAAGGAGACTATGATTGTGAGCCACCCACGAATTGCTCCACAAGCAGTACAAAACTTCAACTCACAAAATGCTCGGTAGTCAGATCTGTAGAATATTTGAAAGATGTATTTGTATTCCAGGCTCACAGCTCGATACTTTGTATGGGTCAACGAAAATTCTACAAAAGAATTCCATGCAACTGGTCGTCTGGGTATAGCTGGACGAAAACCATGGTCTTATCAGTCGTTCTCGGCGGTTTTGGCGCTGATCGGTTCTATCTAGGGCTCTGGAAATCGGCGATCGGAAAATTGTTCAGTTTCGGTGGACTTGGCGTCTGGACGATTCTTGATGTGATTTTGATTGCAGTTGGCTATATCAAACCGTACGATGGCTCAATGTACATTTAATTTTTGAAAAACAATTCCTCGTGTTACATTATTTCCCGGGTGCCCACCGATCGTCTGCAAATTTCTTACCCTTGACTGTAACTTATTCTGTGTAATTAGATACTTTGCTGTTTGTAATAAATTGATTTTTTATTTTTGTAAGTACTTTTATAATTCTTTGATGTTGACCTCCTTCTCGTGATACCTCTTCCGCAGTATAGTTTCCGAAAATCTAAAAAAGGTTCCAGCCACAAAAATGATTGGCAAGGTAGCTGGAACAGCGGCAGTCGCTGGCCTCTCTTTTCTGGCCGGTAAATATTCCAATGACGACTTGCCATTCTTCCGGAACATTCATTCGGCAACAAATGTTCTGATGGTGGGTGATCGAAATTTTTTGGATGTTTTAAAACGTAGACTATACTTTTCAGAACCAGATTCAGTTACCAGCAACAGTTTCAACTGATCTTAAACCGGCTGAGCTGAATGCTGACACCCTAGGACCGTCTCGTTCTGCGGAGATTATGAAGCATGGGTACCCAGGTTTCACCAACGTACGAACTTACGAAGATTTTGTTCTATCATACGACTTCAAAACCAAGACTGCTCATTGGGTTTGCGAACATTTAACACCAGAAAGACTGAAACATGCAGATGGAGTCGACAGAAAACTTTGCGAATTCAAGCCAGACGTCACCTTCCCTCAAAAATTTCTGTCACAAAATACTGATTACCGGGTAAACGTTTTCCGTACGGTTATGAATAACAACCATCCAATTTTAGGCTAGCGGTTTTGATCGAGGACATTTGGCTGCTGCTGGAAACCACCGGAAGAGTCAATTGGCTGTCGATCAGACATTCTACTTGAGCAACATGAGTCCACAAGTTGGAAGAGGATTCAACAGAGACAAATGGAACGATCTAGAGATGCATTGCAGGTATTGCTAAATATTGTATCTTCAACTAAACATGAATTTTAGGAGAGTGGCGAAAAAAATGTTGAATACTTATATTGTTACTGGACCTCTTTATCTCCCGAAGTTGGAAGGAGATGGAAGAAAGTACATCAAGTACCAAGTGATTGGTGACAACAATGTCGCTGTACCAACTCACTTCTTCAAAGTGGCTTTGTTCGAAGTGACTCCTGGAAAATTCGAGCTGGAAGCTTATATTCTCCCCAACGCCGTCATTGAAGACACTGTTGAAATTTCAAAGTTCTACGTGCCATTGGACGCTGTCGAAAGAAGCGCTGGTCTCGAAATATTCACACGAATCGACCCGAAAAGCATTGTGAAGGTCAATGGAGTGAAGAAAGGAGGACTCCTCTGGTGATAATGTCATATTTCATGTGATGAAGTTTCCGGATTTTTTTAGGTTTTATAAATTTGTTATAGTGAAGTGTTTAGTACAATTCCACAAACAATACGATATCATTTAAATAGTAACAACAAAGAACATTCATCCAGAACAATGAATTAGAGAGAAACTCCATGGAAAGAAATTCCAAAACAAATCGTGCTGAAAAAATGAGACGGTATCTCTAGTTAAAACAGAAGCCATGCTTCCTGTGGTTTTTTTCACGAATTGAATAAAAAGCCTTTCCCCGACCAAAAAATATTAGAAACGAGAAGCAAGAAAAGATACGAAAGATAAGAAAAGATAATTAACGAGTAGATGAGACTGAACTCAACGTTCTGTCTTTGGTTCCAACAACTTTCTCTTCAGCAACAGCTTCAGCGATGAACAATTTAGTGATGTTTTCGCTGGTAACAGTCTTGGAGAAGTCGGCAAGAGCGTTCGTGTCGAAACTAGCGAGAAGTTCATCGAGAAGTCCATTTCTAGTCTGAAGTTGTGGTGCTTTGATTCTCTTGATGTCGTCCATTGGTAGTGGAGGATCACCACGAGCCAGGCGCGACTCATTCTCTTGTTGCTGAAAAAAAAAGAGTAAAACATTATTGATATTCATTCTCACTCTTTTCTGTGTTAGGCTGAACACCATGTTGTCATGTCGCTGCTTGTCAATGGTATACTTGGTCAACGATTGGATCGACTTGTTTAACTCGTCGACATTGGCCATCATTGCACGGACAGACTTTTCCAACGATTTTTTCGAACCTAGATCGAAATGTCTCGTGGAGTATTTATCCGAGGAGTATGACTTTGATAGTGCCAATTCAGACATAAGGACGTTGTTGAGATAAGACGACTTGATGATGATCGGTAGTTCCTCGAACATGTTCTGGTAGGTCAACCCAGCGGATTTAACGCTGAAATTAGCAATATTGAGAAAATAGTGGGAAACAATTCTGCTCACAGTTCTGGTCGCCAGTCGTTCTTGGAAGCAAGATCGAGAGCTGCGGTTGAAAGACGCCAGGCGCGAATAGAGAGCTGTCCTTGGCGAGTCTTGATTGGATCTGTAAAGTGATGTATGCGATCATGCCGCAGGAATTGTTCTTACCATAAATCAACACAACGTTTTCAGGTCCCATAGCCTGGTAGTCGAACATTGACTCTACAAGATCCTGAAAACTTTGATATATTCACTGTTTGTTTCAGGTAGCACTAACGTGGGAGAATCCAGCGCCAAACTGATGAGACTGATAGAATCCGACAATCTCGTAGTCGATGTTCATGGTACGGAACTTGCGGAGCATGTCAAGCATCTCTTGCTGCTTCTGCTCCTCGTATTGTTGAGCAGCCTGTGGAGTCTTAGAGAATTGTTGATAGATGTGAAAGTACAACTTACATTAGCATCATCGTCAATGACTGGTTCGTTGCGAACTGTTGGAAAGCAATTGGTAATCTCGAGACGAGAATCTTCCAGGAAAACAAGACCGGTGAGAACTCCGGCGCATGCGTCACCAGAAACCTGGAAAAATTGTTGGCCTGCATATAACTTTCGTTTTCGAGTTACCTCGCTGATTCCAGCATGAAGCTCGCTGTCAACATGTTTCACAATTTTCATAACGACAAGCGAATCCAGCAGGATATGCTTGACGCTGGGAGCCGTAATTGTTACAGCTGTCGACATTATGAATCTCTGCAAATATAAACTGAAGAAATTGTTTCTTCAAACGAATTTGAATGGAGAGGTAATAATAAATTCCTTTTTTGCAGCAAAACACAGAGAAAATAGAAAAAATAGGAGGACGACACACCAAAAAGTTAAAATTTCGAGTATGCGATTGCGCGTCTTTTGTCATGCGTGCACCGAATCGCACACCGTATCTGTGCATTAAATGTGCGATTGTGATTTCAAATCGGCTGAATACATTGTTGAATTGTGGCCTCGTGATCTTTATTTTCATGTTTCCTATAATGTTCCTCGGTTTTCATGATTTTTCGAAGAAAAATATAATTTTTCAGATGCAAACTGAACCGCCAGGGTATTCAAAAGAGCTACCGCAAAATGAAGAGAAAACTGTAAGAATGTTCGGAAGTGAAAATCAATTGTAATTACTTGTTTTCCAGATGCCCCTTATTGCACCATGTCCTCCTCGTGGACTTAAAAGAATGGAAGGAACTAGTAAATTGAAACCAATAGCTCCTGACTCCCCAGTCAAGGTAATTTTTCATTATTCTCAAATTCTCATAATTCTCACAAAAATATTACCAGAGATTTCAAGCTCCGTCTTCATCAAGTCTTCTGGGACATTCTGTATCTATGCCGTCCATGAGGCTCGGCACGGGCTCCACTCCAGTACGCCCGTTCGTCGCCAATGGACAAATTGTGACACCGACCATGGGCTCATTGCTCACTCGCACGTTAACTAGTTCGATACCATTCAAAGTTATGACACCAGCTGAAAAGAGAGTTCCTGCGCCTTTAAAAATTCATCAGACGAAGGGGACGATAACTCCAATTCGACTGAAAATTGAGAGAACTCCCGGAGGAACTATCAATAAAGCTGTAGTAGTCCCGAAGCTTCCTGAGTCAGAAATTTCTCGGAATAGTGATGATGGTCAAGTAACTCCTCCTGCTGGAATGAAGAGGTCCACCAGTGGATCAATGTTGTTAAGGCGAACTCCGGAAAGGATCAGAAGACAAGAGGAGATCGAAACATCACCAGAAAAGCGAATGAGAAGATCTGGTTCCATACCCCGTTCACTGCGTTTGGAGGAATCATTGCCAATCCCACTATCCGATAATCAAACGCCAGTTTTGAAAAGAAAACGCACATCTTCTCTGACGGTTCGTTACTATTTCGTGCTGCTGCCATTTCAAATATTTTATTTCAGTCACTTTTCTCCGATATGCCTGTATTAACTCCACAAACACGTCTTCGGCCGCGAGGTGTATCAGAAAGCCGGGAGGATCGGACGTCTCCGCAAAAAGGAATCGTATCTCCGCTCAAAAAACGAAGTCGTCAAGTTTCTGGCAGCAAACCTCCAAGTCCTTTGAAAAAACGCGATTTCTCAACTGTCAGCATTACCATGACAGGAGGCGATCAAGGTTAGTCAAGATCTTACTATCACTCAAATAGTTATTCTCAGGAACATCTAATCGATTGTCGAGAACGCCTGTTCGTAACATCAGATCCACGATATTCAATCCGAAGGTTGTCTCTGATCATATAGCTCAAACATATGGGCAAGGAATCAAAAGACCAATTGATACGGTATATCCGAGTCTTGTTGTTTTCAAATTTCGTTTTTTTTTCTTTCAGGATCTTTTGTCTTCAAGTAACCCAGTTCCTCCGAAATTGATTACTCGATCCACTTCCGGAGAAACCTACTACAGCGCAATAGAAGGTTTGATCATTCAGAATACCGGAGTTTTTAAATTTTAATTTTCAGATGAATTGGCACAACAAGAAGAAACCATCACGGAAAGAGCTGAAGTGTTCCTAACACCACACGCATCGGAATGTAGTGGTGAGCGTTGTTCATTTCTTCTGTTCTCCCTTTTCTTTGCGTAACACAGTTTGGTGGTGTTGGTGATATATGATACTGTTATAGAGGGAACGGAAGTGTCGTTTCGAATTATGCGCGCATCGTCCACACATGCGTGGACACTCTATTACGCCTTCTTCTCTGTATACTTCTATGTAATCTCTCTTCGTTTTCAAAAAGAAACTGAATCTTTTCTCTTGAGGAACACAACTGGACTAACACCGCCACGTCTTCTTTTTGTATTTTTTGTTGAAAAGAAGTGAAAAGAGAAGAAATGTTAGTGACATGTGTATTATCTTCTAAATACTTTTATTAATGGCGAAAAACAAATTTTCATTTCTGGAAGTGGATTTGTGAACGCCGATGAAATGTGCACGAGATTCAAATAAGTGTATTCAAACATTAGCCTTCTGCTTAATTGAAATTTTCTTCTCTGAATCCTTAGCAATCTTTAGAAATGTTGTCACTAGCTGCAACAGCTGATACATGCTGGGTTCATTTTGGTCGTTGATCAATGCGTTTGGGGGCTTGCCTTCACAAAAAAAAAATGAAACGACTATTTGTATTTGCGATCAAGCTCGGTTTTTTCGAGCATTAAATAGCTTGATTTCTCTCCACTACCCGGTGCTATTAGTTTTTATCAAATATAACATGACACCTCGCTCGCACAAAACCCTTATCTTCTTTTTTGACCAAATTTAGTTGTTTCTTCAAGGAAAACAGATTGATTTTGTCTTTTGTTATCAGTAATATATTGACTCGCTCTTCTTATTTCCTTTTTGTTTCCGAGGATCGAAAACCCCGAGTAAGCACTTTTCCTCTAACTATAAAGTGACCCTTCCCTTCCTGCTGAAAATATATTTCGACTGCGTGTATAATTACAGCTGGAAACAACAAGTTTTCTTATTTTCTGACACACACTCTTGATTTGAATAGCTTGCTCTCAAGTTTTCATGCAGCTTTGATTAGTTTGCTATTGTGAGCTACTGCTCCGTGCAGTTGTTGTCTATCCTTACCCACAGCTGCACCGATCCTCTTAATCTGTTTTTCTTATTCTAGGCTACAAAAATGAGCAGTATATTATTCTGATCAACGACTGAATACTAGGAGGAATTTTCATTAAGCACAAAATAACGATGAATGCCGTCTGAGGCTGGCAGATTGTAATCCATTAAAAGCTTCATAGGGTATTTAAACTTTAAGTCGGGGGCGAGATCTTCTGCCTGCCCTCTCCTTGGCCTTTAATTTTTCCAGAATCATTCAGCTTTTGACACCCTGATAATCATCGAAGTAACAACGTTGAAAAGTGATTTCTATGCGGTTCGTCCACGTAAAAACAAACAAAACAACGACGGCGCCGCGACTGCTGGCTGCTGTTGCTGGCTCCTCGCTATTTATCGGGAAGTAAGAGCTAGAGGAAGAGCAGTGCTCCTCAATTGTGTGTTCCGACCTGAAATACTAGATTCTCGTTTTCCTCGCCGCGCTTTTTACGTCTCCTTAGCTCTTAGATGCTGTCTCTACTATCCACTTTCAAAACATGACAGCATATTGAAATTGAAAACTAAAGGAAAAATTGAAATCTGCCTGAACCTACTGTGACAACTCTTGATGCTCTAATTTCGAAGGTGCTTATTTTAAACGAAGGAAATATCTTGAACGAGATAAAAAAGTCCCACAAAAATTATCTCGATTTTGTATCACACTCTCCATAATTTTTTATCTCTTGTAAAAAATGAATGATGCAAAAACCCAACAACAAGATGATCTAGAATTATTAGTGGTCCTCTTTTATAGCTTATCTTTCTAATCTCTGTCTGAATTTCACCTCACTACAAGTTCGAAAATCGTTGACCAAACACAAAAATCTATGAAACGTGCGTTTTGATCGGAATAATGTGTGCTCAAATCGATCTCATAGAGCAACCATTGTGAGAACTTCTGCAACGATATTGGAATAGAATACTATAAATACGCAAGCTACAATTTAAAAAAAAACTGTCTCCTAAGGTGGATTTTGACTAAATTGAAACCTCTTTTTTTTACTTGTTTCGATTCCACTGTAGAATCAACAGTAATACGGGCTTCTCCCAAGTGACTTATCTTCTCAACAACCTCTTATCACTCATGTCTTTTTCATCACTGCCTAGATTGTTTTCAGAAGAGTGGGAGGAGAAAAATAACACAAATTTTTGGTTAAAGTATATTTTTCAAGTCGGCAGAAATCAATTGCAGAGTGAAAAAGGAGGAGAGTGATCTTTTGAGTTGTTTATTCTTGTGTCCCTCTTCCTGTCGTCGCACTTTTTCCCCTTAAAACATAATTCTTAATTTTGTAGTATGTTCTCTGATTAGTGTTTGTATTTGTACTTTACACACTTTCATGTCACAACGCCAATTGTTCGTGGACGATAGGAACCACTAACTATGATTCTTCGTCTGTTTCTTCTTCCCATCAACACAAGTTGTTTTCTTAACAAATGACACACGAGAGATCATTCTCGGGTCGATTTCTTTTTTAAATGATTAATTATGACATCGAGAGCACAAGAATCATTCGATTTTTTACCAATTTTCGAAAATTATTGGACAAGGTGCTTGTGCGCGCTCTCCGACTTTTTTCATCGGGCAGCGCAAACAGAGAATAGGGAGAACAAGAGACCAATAAGCGTTCTGGGAACAGTTCTACCGGGGGCGGCCAGTTGATCAGTCCAAGAGCATTGGATGAGACGAAGCACACGGTCGAAAAGTTTGTATACAAACCGGGTGGCACCATTCTGTCTGGGCGCCCGTGCTCCAGGGGAGGTCGCACTCGGTTTTTCGGTCTGTCCGCTCTCGCTGTTGTGTTCATTACACTTTTATGCCCTTTGCTCCACCACTACCTCGTTTCTTCATCAAACGTTGAAAGGCGACTTCTCGTTTTACTCTTTGCGTCATTATCATCATCATCATTCTCGTCATTTTGAATCCAGGGTATCATCATAACAACTTGTTCCTTATTTCAGACTCTGCAATGGTACCGTTGGTGCAGAAACAAATTTCGATCGACGAGAAGATGTTGAACGGGGAGGAGGATGAAGGATTCGGTGATTCTATGAAAACTATCAAAAAAGGACAGGGGACGGCTTTGGCTAGGAGTCTTTCGTTGAAATTATCTCCACTAAATCAGGAAATCAAACCAATCGGAAACACAGAGGTGAGTTTTTGAGTATCAAAAGTCAGTTTACAATTTCCGAGACTATAAGACTGTTACAGTATGACCAATAGTATATTCGAAAGTTCCGTAACCGAATTTTGAGGTCCAACGTGAAGGTCAGATAATTTTTCACGTAAAACAGTTGTCAATCCGTGTTATCTAGAAATATCATTTTTCAGTTACTCACCTAAAAAAAAACCAAAAAGATTAATGTTTAATGTAGGTTCGAAGTTTCAAACAATACCAAACTATTATAAACCAGTAAGCTGGTGCGCCTTCGGCGCGATTCAATCTAGTTTTATCACTAGTTCGTGGCTCTGCTCCTCAATTATTCTTAAAGAGTCACGTAAATCTATATTTAATTTTCAAGCTTTTCAAAAGTCCACAGAGTGACACGAGGACCAACAGACGCCTCTAGCGTTTTACATATAAGAAAGATATGTATTGAAAGAAGCTTCTAAAAATAGCCTGTAAAATTTCAGAAGTCTTGCTCCACTCCATCTCTTCCAACAGCACCACTTCTGCGACAAGGCTCAACCTCGTCTCTACGGTTCAAAGTGTCACCATCCAACTTCTTGAAATCAATTACTGTAACTCCGGTCACTCGTCCAATTGAAATTGTTCCTCAACCGTCGCTAGCTCCAGTAGCCCCAGTAGATCCAGTAGTGATTCCTGAGTCATCCCCTGTAGAATTATCGGAACCTTCGACTTCCGGAGGAATAAAAGAAATGGCGGTTGTGAGAAAATCAGTCTTGAAAGCACCGAAAGCTGCGTTCAAAATTAGAGAAAATCATATGCAAGGTTTGGATTATCTATTTAAACGGATTTATAATGCATTATTTTTTGTCAGGTTCCCGTCGTAGACAGATAAAGTTTAACGGATTGGATGTGCATTACTTCGATCGGTGTCAAGGAGAATCAACAGTACCATCGGAAGGAGATGTTTCTCTCGATATGCACAACACACATCACTGTCATCGTTATTTCTCGCTTGCATCTGGGAAACGTCCACTACTGGATCTAGCATTGTATGACGACGGGGAACTATCAGAGGGAGAAGAAATTTATCCAGATTCTGATGATCAGGAATACGATGAGTACGCCTCGGCTAAAACTATCAACAGGCTGAATCAAAGGCTCCGCATAAAAATGCTCAAAAAGAGTGGAGTAAAGGTTGAAAAGACGGCCGTAGCAGAATCGTGGAGAGCGACGCGTACGGTTTGTGGATGCTCCTGCGAGAATGGAGTATGTCTGCCAGATACGTGTGAATGTGCATTGAGTGGAATAAACTGCCAAGTGGACGGAGGCAACTGGCCAACGCATCCTTGTACATGCGTCGTTGACACATGCGACAACCCAAATGGACGTATATGCTATGATCAAGAAGCCGTATTTTCCTACCGTAGGAAGACGATTGACTTTTGGAAAGCTTCACAAGTTACGGGTATCACTGGAAGTCCGCAGGTCACAAAGTTTGTAGATAGTGACGATAAAGAGGATAAGCAGTCGAAAAATTGGCATCTTAAAAATATTGTAAGTTGTTTTCTTCTATTTTTATATATGCTAATGACTTTTCAATTTCAGACATTAGAGCAAAGTCCTACTAAATTTCCGGTGACTCCGGTTTATACACGCCGAGCGCGTTCAACGTTATCCGATATTCGAGAGAGTGGAAGTGAAGCATCCACATCGGTGACGCCATCTACTTCATTATCGGAAAGAATGAAAGCAATGCAGCATTTGGAAAATGAAGTATGCGTCGAAGTAGAAGAAAAAGAGTACGAAGACGTTGATAAGGTTTGCTAAATGTTCGGAATATTTAAACATCTTTTCACTTAATTACAGGAAGAAACTTTGGTTGAGGCAGATCTCACACTTCAAGAAGTCTACGTTACACGGGAACCGGAATCAATGAATTCTGGAACAGATTTACTCGACACACCAATGAGCCCGGTCAAAACAACGCTGGTCGTTTAATTGCTTCATTAACTTCATTATTGTAATAGTATTAGATTAAATATTCGAATTGGCTAGAAAAAAATCGTAATATTTATTCCCGTCCTTATTGTCTCCCCCATCAATCCATGTATACCGAAACGGTCTCAGGAATCAAGTTTTTGAAAAAAACTTTTAACGCATCACAGTAATGTTCTCAGTGACTTATAATACTACCTCTGACGAGTTGTAATTGTTACTCCTCCTGTACGGTTTTTTTTCTTTTCTCTCAATTATCATTTTTCTAGCTCCGGGCATATTTCACTCTAAAAACATTAGAAATCGGTTTTTACAGTGACCTTGTAGATGAGCAATCATTGTTCATTCTTAAAATAACTTTCACTGTATTGTCGAATTAAAAAAAGAGGGACCTGAGAATTTGGAAGGCTTTTTTGATCTACGAAACAGTGCGGCAAAAACGTAATATTTCAGACTTTCGCCTCGTTCGAGCTATTGTCGGAATAA